TGTTGTTGTTGTTGTTGTTGTCTGGTGTATGTCTTCGACAGTCACGCTATGCAGCGGCCCAGATACTTTGGTTGGGTTTCGGCTGCTTTCCTAAAGCCAACGGACAGGATGGTCGGAATTGGCATGTTGAGCTGAGGCAAAGCTCAGGATCATCTTACCCTTGCGATTACTAAACGAAAGAAGAAGGATCAACTACCACTCTAAATTCACGACCACACTTCGGAACAGTAAGAGCCCAAGCCCAATCTCTGAGGCAGCTGCAGACAGGTTGTTGGCGCCCTTGCCTCGGTGGGGGGGGGGGGGGGGGGGGAAGCCGGCAGTGACACGAGTAACTACCTGAAAGGCCCAGTTGCATGAGATTGTTCCACAAACATATACATATGCATGTACCTGTACATGAACGTATACATACAGGTAAGTACGTACATGTATATATATATATATNNATACATACATATATGTACATATGCATAGGTATACATATGCATATATATATATATTTATTTATTTATATTTATTTATTTACATATATGAAAGTTGCTTCCTACTTCATTCTTTATAGATATACTCATGCACCTGTGCATTTCGAATTTTACTTGTGCTTCTGTATTTATATCTAATCAAGTATTGGCTATATGGCTAAATGATATGTATATCCACGTATGCATGTATGACATACATACATACATACATACATACATACATACATGCATGCATGCATATGTACGCACGTACATGCATACATCTAGACATTCACAAGCATGTACTGACATGGCATGTGAAAATATACCTATATATATATATACATATAGAATTATGTAATATCTATATCTATATATATAGACACGGAGAGACAGAGCGCGAGAGAGAGAGAGAGAGCGAGAAAGATATGCGTGTGCTTGCACAACTATCGAAATGTGTGCATGCACGTTTGTATTGCACATGTGCATGCACACAGACTGATGGAAAGGGGCTTGTACAGAAAGATAAAGACACATTCAACCTTTGCTACTGTAATGCAGCCGTTTACATGTAGGATGGCACCAACAACTGCAAGGACATTGGATACTAGGCCGAGATGTCTCCCAACGTCTTGCTTGCATGCTCCTCCCCGCTCTTTCCCAACATCCCTCAAACCTTTTTGCATCTGGACTTGTGCAATCGCCAGAGACTGTCAACCCAGGGAGCATGTATGAAGCCTAAATTTTAAACCCTACATACCATGCCAGGGAGCTGAATGTTCCTCTGACTGGGGAGCCCTCGCAGCCCGCCATGGGCGACGAGCCCACACGGCGTGCCAAAGCCTGCAGCAGACTAAACGATAATTCATCACCCCTCCGTCGGTACCTATATCCTATATCCATCTCTTAAGTTCGGAGGGAACAACTATACAAACAACATACGCGCACATATACGCACCAGATTTGGCTACGTACGCGAAGATAGATGTCTATTTCGTCACCCACTTCATCTATGTTATAAGTATTAACTGTATAAACCTACAAATATATACACATATACTCAAATATGTCTCCATGCCGTTCATAGATAGGCACTGCAGATGAAAACGCATGCCTGACTGTCATGTACGCGTACCACTGCCGGCACACCGAACATGTGATGAGTCTTCCGTTTCTTAATTCAAAGAGCAAGCCAGGTTCCTTTGACCTCTGCCTTGGCCGCTTGCTTCTACAGCAACACCCGAAGGCTCCAAAGCGAACGTTGCGCAGATCGCGTGCCGTACATGTTTTTTACGTTTACGTACGCACCGTTTACTGACTGCTTGCCCATGTGCATGTCTGCAGGTATGGTGCTTATCTATACTGGATAAATATAAAAAAATTTGCCCCTGCAAAAAACCCAGGTTTGTGCTGCAAAACGAGTGCTTCTGTTCTTGAATTTTTTTTACACCTCACGTGGCTGTGCGAGAGCAGATGTACCCTCGCCACGGCTTGCATACCCTACCAATGCCGCAAGAAATCGAAGTTCTCTATGGCTCTACGGCAATAGCTACAAGCTGATGGACTCCGGCTCACCACATCAAAGACACTCCGATTGGAAGTTAAAAAATTTGGACCAGGTACTCTAGTGTGAAAGACGCAGCAACATGAAGTCTAGAGTCGAAACTGCAGCGAGATCTTTAAGGCGAAATTCAGACATGACGCACGTATGCCCCCGTGACATGGTGATGTCTGAAGAAGCCTCGACCGGGAGCAACACGCCGCCCTCAGGGGCTGGTGCCACACTGGCATTCTTCCCTGACAGCACAGCATTCGAGGAAGCTCTGATTTGACTGCTCCACAATCATGACCCTAGTCTGTAGATTCTACGCCTTCGTTCCCGACCAAGTGCTTGTCAAGCGGCCCATGACATTCAAACACCGGCCGGGCCAGTCTTTCTCGGAGACAGCGCGCTTCAGGTCCTCTTGCTCCTCTGACACGAAGCGGAATAACGAGGACAATCGCGGCTCCAATTTCCGGTGTCCGAACGGATAAGATAAGATCTCACCAGCGGCTTTTCGGAATTGCTTTGCCAGGGGAGTCCTCGTCCTCCCGTCGCTTCTGGCAGCAGCAAAGGAAGCGAAGCCAAAGGCAGCGCTGCCTGCTGGGATGCGAGGCTATGATGCCCCGGGATGCGGCATTCTGCTTCCTTCACAAACCTGTCTGTGCTTGGAGGCCAGGCCTGTGGAATGCCGAAGTGAGCGCCGCGGATGCCATGGCTGCACCGATCACGGCCATGATCAAGAAGAGCACCGACAAAGGGGAGCCTGCACCAAGGACTGTCGGAACATGCCATGGGCACCTTGATGTGCATATAACTATAGACTATAGAGCTTTTCGAACAGGTGGTTCAGGGCTGCGGTTCCGGCAAGAGCCCTCAGTCCCGGCCTTCTTGGAGCGTGGTGCCAGCACTGAATTGGGGAGCGGCCTGTCACAGCTTGTCTCACTTGGCGACTCTACTAGCGTGCTGAGTTTGGGCGTCCTCTGAGGCTGCTACCTCGCTTTGGGACTACGAGTATCTGTGGTGATTCAGCAGCACTGAGTTTGTGGCATTTGGCCTGGTACTTAGCTCCATGGCCCCTGTTGCATCGCATGATGCGAAGAAACACTGCAGCCGGCCCAAACTCTACCGACTCTATCTACCGCAGTTTTTGTTGTCTTTATAGGCCTCTTTCCTCCCGCTATGTTCTGCTAGTCGGCAAAGCCTATTAGACTAAAGCGTTGGGTCTGGGAACTCTCTCTAGACTCTAGCGGGATTCCCACCATCACGCGACACCGCAGCCTAGGCCTAGACTCCCAAGACGGCACTTCTGACTTCGAAGGCTTTAAAATGCCGAAGCACCTGGCCACCGCCCACAGGAGAAGTGCACATGGCATCGTGGAGACGCCAATCCTCGAACGCACGCAGAGAGGCATCTACACATTTGGCCAGTGAAAAGGGCGGAGCCTTCCCTTAGACAGGAGTAGTGCCAGCCAGGGTGCAGAGCAGTGTCTGAGCGGGAAGAAAGGTGCCTGAGCTTCAGCTGAATACATGCCCAGGACATTAGACATCATCGTCATTGTGTTTACCAGGATGCATTTCTCTCTCTGCCATGTATGCTCTCTACTTCACTGCTTGATATTCAAGACAAGATGCAGCCTCTGGATCGGACTGACACCAAGCTTCCACTGCCTCCCCACAGGTGAGCTCGGTGTCATTGGTAGTGTTGTCCTGCCAGTCTTGTCAAAACTACGACTCCCTCAAAGTAATGAGGGGTGTTCAGGGTTGTAAGGGCAGCAAGCAGCGCTACATCGGGGCCCGTGTCTCGTAGGATTCGAGGTCGCTGGAATCGTGTTGCAGGAGCTGTTCTTTCAAGGAAGCGGTTAGAAAGGAGAACTACGGCTTTCCGTCATGGTGCCGTATTGGCCGTCGTTGGGAGCGTCGGAAAGCATGCCCATCCGATGTTATGCAAGGTCCAGTAATGCAACCGCTCAGCTTCGATCGCTAGTCTAACACACTCACGGGCCTCACGGGTCGCAGAGAAAGATCGATTCCGATGCTTGCACGATGGCAACGGTAGAGTAAGCAGTCTGCTAAGACTACCTCCATTACTCTGTTCTCGACATCGTGCACTATTCTGACTCCGCGCTTGCAAAGACTATGTACTTGTTGTAACAAAAGCTTCTCCAATGCAGTTAGGCAAAGTATAGGGTCCAGGGCGAATCAGGCTGCTGTAAGGCAGTGTTATATGTTTTGCAGCACATCGTAAAGGCTGGGATTTTAGAGGACTTGTGTGCAGCATCAGACTCTTTTTGGTGGGCTTCCATCACGAATGAGAATGCTCATCAGAAGGATGCGTCCACCCTAAAACGGCATGGTCAACAGAGTCAACAGGGCACTGAATTGGCGTTTGGCGACATGTTAAGTCTGCAAGCTGCTAGTCCAGCATGTCCTCCTCGTCCAAAGTGTACGTTGTGGACTCACCGCCCTGTCAGAACCGTGCCACGGTCATAAGCAGCTTAGCAGCAGCCACTACTAGTTGAATTAAGCATTCCCTTGCATGACTTCCCCTGATGCCAGTGCCTTGCCTGAGTCATGGTCGTACTCGGGGCCGTGCCCGTGAGGTGACGGGAGCTGGTGTAGTTCGTGTGCGCATGCTCTGTGGTGGTGTTGGCCTGGAGTCCAAGACTTGAGGCCCCGCAGCAAGAACATCCAAGTCTAGGTCGTGGAATTTAGTCTGCAGTCCAAGATGAACAGATCCGGTTAATCCCTGCATGCGCATTTTAGTATTGCGCAACTGTGCCCACTCTCTGGGCCCGCGTTCGCAAACTCAGGCTAAAGCAGCAACCTGCGACAACAGCGCCCTCTTATATCGATAGACATACAGCATCGGCAGCACAAAGGATGCAGCTGCCCAAGTTGTGACAGGGAAGGCGCGAAAGCAAACGTTGCTTATTACTGGTTACTAGGCAGACAAGGTGCACTGTCCAGGTTGTCCTTGGTGCGAGTGCTGAGATCTCCGATCGTTTCTGGAGTAAGGCTGGCCGTAATAATGCTCTGCAGCATCGACTGCAGCAGTTGCCCTTGTTAGTGCTAGTGTTGGACTTTCCTTGAAAGCTTTTTCGTTGACAAACATGCACACAGTGCCGCACAAGACTGGAAGCCAACAAGTCCGAGTATGTCCAAGCCGAGTCGCGGTAGTGCTTGTGCCGGTCCAAGTTGCGGTGCCTGTCATGCGCAACTCGGAACTTCTGCCTGGCTACCGGCTCTCTCGACATTCCCAAATCCGTCAGCTGATCTCTGCTGGCCTGTGACAGTAGTCGCTTCGGCCACGGTTGTGATCGGTGCCTCCACCTTCGACAGCGTCATAGACACATCGTGCCCTGAAACCCTGAGGCCGAGGACGTGGCCATCTTAGTGGTCCTGGTGGCGCTGGTGGACCTTACTGTAGGGGTTTCCAGGCGACCCGACATGAGTTGGAAGCAGTTCCTAGTGTAACGGCGCGGCCAGGTCGTTGTCACCGTGGCCGAAAGCGTCCTGCCATGTCACGCGACTGCGCAATGCCTGCTTGGCCTCGAGCTGCGCGAAATTCAGGATGAGGTATTCTGTCATTCTGTCGTTTCGACACGCAAATGGCCAGGAAAGCAAGAGGCCGCCGTCACTTCGCGTTGTAAAGGCCGTAGTAGGGTTGGGAAAGGCTGATCTAGCAACCAAACTCTCGGCATGGGATTGAGTTCCGCAGTCCTGGTGGTGGTCAGCGTCTTGGTCGACGCTGGCATTGCCCACTCCGTGCTGCTGAGAGTGGTAGTACCGGTCGCTGTGGCTACTGCCAGTGTTGCAGTTGTGGTCGCAGTAGTGCTCATGGCTGTGGTCGCCACTTCGGGTGGGTTGGTGACACTCAGCGTGGTGCTGCCAGTGCTGGTAGCGGTTGCGGTGTCGGTTACCGAAGTCTCTGTCGCGCTCACTGTGCTGGTGACAGTAGCAGTAGCAGTTACAGATGTGTCCGTGACTGTCACAACAGTGGTTGACGAAGTTTCGCCCGACCACGTTTTCGTACTGCTTGTGGCCGTGCTCGATGTTGCGCTCGAACTTTGTGTCGAGCTGCTGCTTGAGCTGCGCGTTGTTGTTGCCGAAGTGCTAGTGTCTGAGTGGGTTGTTGTGTCGGTCTTCGACGAGGACACCGTGGTCGTGCTTCCCGTCCGAGTAGATGTATCCGTGCCAGTTGCCTTGGAAGAGCAAAGTTGCTCCAAGGCAGGTCCCACAGTCTCCGGACACGACTTATGGCCATCGCACGGTCACGCAACCCAGGATGAAGAAGACAAGTTGGGACTTTGGTTAGACGCAGGAGTCTGGACAGAGGCAGCCTTCAGCTTGAAGCAGAGTTTCTGGTCACTCGCCGTCAGCAACAGCCAACTCTGACTGACAACAGCTCCACACGACTCGGACAATCGAGGCGGCCACTGTCAACGAGCTTGTCACGGTCGTGGTCGACTCTGTGAGGGTGCTCGACCACGTCTCCGATCCTGGCGCAGCACGCAAAGTCTTTGCCTTGAGAATGACTCATTCTCAATGCAAAGAACGACTGTTGTCACGATCCTCGGTGCTAGCGTTTTGCTCTGCCAGGACGTTAGACGTTGTGCTAGCATTAGAGTGGCCGCTGATGGGTGCAGCAGGCATAACCGGGTCAATGATGCCATGTTGAGCTCGATCCTGTGACTGTCTGGTCTGGATGTGTTACGGGAGGTTATACGGGGCTTTACAGCGCTTTAATGGGCAATACATAGGTGTCACAGCTAGTTCAGCACCTTGCCGCAAGGGAGTCCAGTGCGTCCTGTTGTCGAAGATGTCGCAGTCTCGGACACGCTCGTGGTTGCAGACTTGGTAGTCGTGAGGGTCTCACCTGAGTAGGTGTTTATTGGACATCAACATGTTGAGGGCCACTCTTGGGCAGGTACTTTCCGTTGTCGTAGTGGAGCTCGTCTCGTTTGTCTCGTTCCTCGCAGGCACATGTGCCAGAAAGCCAAGGCATGTTCCTAGCTCAGACTACAATGGCCACAACAAGTCCATCCAATTTGTGACACTCACACTCGGGCAAAGCCTGGCAAGGTCTGCAGCAATACTGTCAGTGGAACCTCATTAACAGACACGTCTAATCGGTTTCATTCGACGTGTTGCTGTCAAGAAGGATGTGCAAGACACCCAGGAGCAAGTAAACAAGCATGGCACAACATCGATTTGAGAGCGCCCTTCAGGAGGTTCACTCGACTAAAATCCCACAACGAAGGTTTCGACGCTCTCGTCCTGACATGTAGACCTGTAGAGCCTGCAAACCCAATCAAATTAGGGATCGAAAGCAAGCTCCTTCACCCCTGGAGCTAATCAGCGGGCATCACTAGCAGCTGTATGGCGCCGCTCCGAATCTGATGCCCAAGCTTCTTCCACTCGGGGACCGTAATGTTGATCTCCGTCAAGTTGGATCCGGCGGCAAACGTTTCGAACAACTTCCTCAGTTCTGTGCACCCTGCTCAATGCACACCTTGAGCTGTTTCCGTCGTGCAATTGCGCGTCGCCCGCCAGTCGTTGGGAGATTGGAGCCAAGACTATGCGCGGACAAGCCTCCCCAGGTTTGTCAGGGTGCCGTTCGGGTGGATGAGGCCAGCATCGCCGTTCCTCGGTAGGAGTGGATTTGCCTGGGACATCTGTTCCGACGAGTTTTTGGAGCATTCCAATACACTGCATTACATTACATCATATCAATGATATCCCATGCGTTCACACTCACATGAGAAACTTATGTGACTTTGTTCGTGGTGCCAAAGAGAAGGCGCTTCCACCCCCGGAAATTCGAGCCCTGCCCTGGAACTCTCGAGCCAAGGTGCTCTCCATCCACCTTGCCAGGGTTTCAGCGTCTGGGGGTTTTCTTCAGGGTTTTCGGGGTTTGGACTCGGTGTTTAGGGTTTAGGCTAAGGTTTCGAGTTTCGACTGGCCACCAGCCCAATTCATCTATACATATACTGAGACAACATCTCCGAGCCGTCACGCATCCTCCTCTAAGCACAGGGCTTAGGGGCATACGCTGCCAAGAGATCCGAGACTGCCCCACCGATACAGGGAGGCCAACTTATTCGAAGTCCGGAGCACCGGAATTCTTATCAACCTGTTTCTTGGCCGGTTATGCCCTTAGGGCTCAAGATCCATACGACTGCCGGGGAAGCACAAATAGAAATTAGATGTGTTTTCGAGGCAGAGCCACGATCGGATGGTCCCACTCATCCTTGAAGTAGCTGAACCAAGCATACCTTGGAGCAACGACAGCTTTGGGAACAAAACACCCCAAAGAGGGATGCGGCAGGGTCTCGCAGGTACCGCACATGCATTTGGATAGCCAACTGAGCTTTCCTAGCATGAGATGTATCCTCAATTCACTGTGATGGCTAGGCTAGACTTCCTGACAGACAGGGGGCCCGACCCTGTGCCACAGCATTGGTTTACTGGAGTTCAATCACAGGCGCATCTCTACGTCTTCATCAGCTTCGAGGAGAGGGATCGCCTTGTCATGCGCATCTCTGTGAGGGTCATGTCCCTTCACAAGCAGCAAATATAGATGGCGTGAAATTGAGGGCTCGGAAGGAGAAGTGGCAGCATTTCGGAAGTCCACCAATGCTGGCTAAAACGGGCAACATATTTTCACAAGCAGAAGCCCGACAACCTGACTGCCCTCCGTTGGCTGCCAGCCTCCCTCATGTAAGCCATTTGGCCCTGCAGACAAAGGTGAAGGGCAGAATGTGAGGGGACGCAATAACTGGCGTTGCATCACTAGAGATCTCAATGTGACTCAAGATCCCTTCCTTTTCTGGGGCGGTTCTGTCATCGTCACATGACCTCCGCCACAACAGCGGAACGCACCAGCCTCTGCCGACAGCCGCTCCGGGGAGTGCGGGTCAGAGCAAGCAATCTCCGTGACCCACATCGGCTTGCCTGAGCAGTCAGAATCAGTATTTATGTCCAAGGGCGGGTATCCGTCAACGACCGATAACGCAAGACCACCGCTGACCACACATGCGAAGCCCAGTGGCCAAACACTCGGTACCGGTCCAGGTGATACCTAAGCTGCTTGGAACAGTGCATCGCAAGCCAAATTACCGGGGCCCTAGATCACGCCATATTTGCAATCAATCAACATAATATATATATATATATATATATGTAAATATATATGTGTGTGTATGTATACACATATAAACATTATACATAGGTACGGACCTATGTGTGATATATGCAAAAATACAAAGACAAATACGTATTTACGTACACCAAGCTCTGCAGAATTGAATATGTATATATGCATATATATACACATGTTCGTATAGACATACATGTACGTATACATATACATGCACAAACATAAGTATGTATATATATATATACACATCAAGCCTAAGCACATGCATGCATATCTGTATCTATACCGATATCTGTATATACACGACTATATATATGTACACATAAATATGTGTATACACACGTACACTAAGTAATGCAGTATGTATAGTCTAAACACGTATGTATAACACAATATAGTATACATACATATTGCATACACATACCAACATACATGCACATACATACCTTACATTAGACATTACATTAGACATTACATCACACATTACATTTCACATTACATTACAAAATACATTACACATTGCACATCACATCACATTACATCTCATTACATGACATTACATTACATTGCATTGCACATTACATTACACATTACGCATCACATTGCATTACATTACACGTTACATTGCACATTACAAAACATTCCACTACACATTACATTACACGTTACATTACATTACATCACATTACACATTACATTACACATTGCACTACACATTACATTACACATTGCACTACATCACATTACATGACATTACATTACATTGCATTACATTACACATTGCATTACACATTACATTGCGCATGACATTGCGCAGTACATTACACATTACATTCCATGACATTAAATACATACAAATGTGTAAACATCTACATACATATATATATATATATACATGCATACATACATACATATGTACATACATATGTACATACATACATACATACACATACATACATACATACATACATACATATGTAAGCACATACATACATACATACATACATACATACGTACATACATACATACATGTACATACATACGTGAACATTGAGAGCATATCCGAGGAACTTCAAGCCGTTCGCATAGCAGCTGAAGACGTGGAGGCCGATCGCATCAACCTCGCAGTCTCATTGATGCAAACAAGTAGGACAGTCTTCGAGCTGCTGGTTGCTTATCCTTGACATTGACCTGCAGTAAAGATGCTCTAACAAGGCAAGCATAGAATTCAGATGGGTACTGACACACACACACAGACAAGCAAACATGCAACTTGGATGGGGTATTAACCAAAATAAGCAAATGCAGAACTAAATGGGAAATGGCCCACCAGTTTGTCCGAACCAAACCTGGGACGTGATCTTACCTGTTTCAATGGCAGACATAGAGTGAGTTTGGATGGGCATGGACCAAACACAACACGCACAAAATGGATGAGCATTCAACAAACACACTGCTTGGATGGGTTTATGACGCGTATCGGCACGAAGGATTGCCACGAATAGGACCTTTGCTTTCCCATTCCTCTTCTTTCCGCTGTCACTGCTTCCGCTGTTGCTGCCGGCTCCCCCAACTCCTGAAATTAGCTTCTGCTGCCGCTACCGCGACCGCTGCTGCTGCGAGACTGCTCGTACTGCTAGTAGTAGTAGTAGTAGTAGTAGTAGTAGTAGTAGAAGTAGTAGTAGTAGTAGTAGTAGTAGTAGTAGTACTACCTTCTACCTACTACCGACGACGACGGCCACCCCTACTACGACGACGACTGCTGCTGCTCTACTTGTGCACATACTGCTACTGCTGCTGCTGCTGCCGCTGCTACTCCTGCTGCTGCTGCTACGACGACGATTACTGCTACTAGTACTGCTTCTACTACTTCTACGATACTTCTACTCCTACTCCAGCTCCTAGTGCTACTGCTAGTGCTAGTGCTACTGCAACTGCTGCTGCTACGACGAGACGACTTCCATGGCAAGTGTGAAAGAACCGCTGGCATTGTGCTATCGCTGGTTGGCATCTCCTCTCTAAGACTTCGTGTCGGAACCTTGCAGCCCTCGCAGTGGTAGAAGAATTGGTAGAGCCAGTCGATCGGATCCTCGAGTGCTTGCCATGGCACACCCTGTGTGTCTAGAGATCGGCTGGCACATCACGGATCTCAGCTACTGCCACTCTACACCTATGACTGTCATCGCAAGCAGTCGCAAGGGCCCCCTGAAGCTGAGGGTGGCTCGAAGGACCAGTGGTAGTTCATGGATGGCGAGACCTCGGAACTGAAATCTTCAACGGCTTCCGGCCTTCGACCACCGCTCGAGCTATGCCTACGACAGCGTCGAAGCCTTGCGCCGACCAACGACCGAAGCATAATCTGAGATGTTTACTGTTGTTGCTCCATGAACTCAGGTTTCCTGTTTGTCGTGGTTGCTCAGAGTGCAGAAATCAAAATACATCTCCGAATGGCCAGCGACGAGCACAGAACGCCTGCAGGTATCAAGTTGGAGAGCAGAGGCCTTTCAGGATCCACCATGAAAACACGTCGTTGTGGATAACACACTGCAACTACAAAGCGACGAGAAGCTTCGGAGGCCTAATTATGTTTTGGTTCCGCCGATCCAGCAACTTCTTCCAAGCTAGCAATAGTAGCATGGAGCGGCGTCGATGCCAACACCTTGAACAGGCAATGCGCATCCTTCCGCGCAATCTTCCGAGTCCGCCATGTCTCAGGCAGCTGCAATCGTGGTAATGTTGTTCAATTCCGCGATCCTCTCCACATCCTTCCAGTAGTATGCAGCCTGAGATCGCGAGTGCCACAACTAGTGTAATGGCGATGAGCAGATTAGCCTCATCCTCGCTACGAGCTAGTGTAATAGCCCGATGGGTCGATCACAAGGTTGCAAAACGCGCCCTGTTCAGTTTGCCTGCCTGCCCCATCGGGTAATGCCAACACGAACTGAGATTTCCTTCCTTGCCCAACCCCGAATCCAAGGCCAGCACCCAGTACGGATGGAGATTGGCCCTGCAGTGGCATGCTTGCTCCAGGAGGGTCTTGGAGCCGGGTTGCTGAGTGCTCCGGGGTACACGACGATGAATGTAGGAGCTGTTGAAAAAACAACGAATGGCACTGTTGCAAGGCATGCCTTAATCCCGAGCCAAGCCAATTGGCCGTGGGAAAGCCGTGCAAACCCGACTGGCCGAGTTCGCTTATCGAACTGCATCGACGGACCCTTCCAAACACCACTCCGGCGGGGACTCCCCTCGTAGGTTCTACAGGTACGTACGTGGCTATATGTATGTATGTAGGCATGTGCATTTGCATGTATGCATGTATGCATGTCGGTCTGTCTCTGTCTGGCGGTCCGTCTGTCTGTCCGTCTGTCCGTCGGTCGGTCTGTCTGTGTCTGTCTGCGTGTCTGTCTGTGTGTCTCTGTCCGTCCGTCTGCGTGTCTGTGCGTGTCTGTCTGCGTGTCTGGGGGCTGCGTGTATATATATATATATATCTCTCTCTCTCTCTCTGTGCATGTGTATGTATGTATGTATGTATGTATGTATGTATGTATGTATGTATGTATGTATATGTGTATGTATATGATATGTATATGTATATGTATATGTATATGTATATGTATATGTATGTGATAGACAGACAGCTATTAGATATATGGATAGATAGCTCGCTGGATGGATGGATAGATAGGTAGCTAGATCTCTGCGCGTGTATGCAGACGGACATTTTTGCTCCCACATGGCATCATCAGCATGCAAACGGACATACAGATGTGTATTGTTATGTGTGCAGTTAGACCCTATCATAGGTTATAGGACCAAAACAAGACTCGGAGCACACTCTTTGAAGATCTCCCCAAGCCCCAAAAACCGCAGGGCTCCCCGGCTGCTCGGGGAAGTTCGGCTCGTTGAAGCCGAGCAAAGCCCGGCTGCCCTCCGGTATGCCGTTCGCCTTTCCAGCGACGGAAAAGGGGATGCTTTAGGGATTTGAAGGCTTTAGGGCTTCGTTGGGGCGCGGGGGGAACTGCTCTTCGGGATCTTGAAGGACGGCTGTGACAGAGACTTTCTCTTGCGGGTTCTTGAGGCTGTGAAGCTTCGATCAAGGCGGTTGCCAGCAAGGTGTAGGGTAGCAAACTCCGGCGAGTAGGGGAAGAAAGCTGAAGAATTTTCATGCTGTGCTCTACCGCATAGTTCATTCTACAACAAAACTCATAGCGATATGGACATCGAGGCTTCAGAACGGTTCAGCTACGATAGACTAGGGTTGCTCTCGATTGCGCTGAAGGTGCTGAGGAATTGCAAGGTTCAGGGAGGCAGAAATTCAGGGCTCAAATGTGCTTCCAAAAGCCTGCAACGGCAAGCTTCAAGGTTTTGGCATTCAGGAGTGCGGCTGCGGATGCGCTAGTTTGCATAGTTTGCAGTGGCAGCTCAATGTTTCGGCAAGTGTGCAGCTTTTCTCGCGCGAGCTGCGAGAGATGCTGTAATGCTGTTCCATGGATTGGGAACTATCATCCACAGAAACACAAGACGAGCACTCGCGTCAGTCGAAGAGCGAGAAACAAGTTACAGGTTCAACTTCCGGATCAGGTATTGAGGTTCCGTCTCGAATTGAAACGGAAAGGAAAGTTGCTGTCTCTCAGGGCCACAACCACTGAATTGGCCGAACATCGGTGCGACGCTTTTGCGCTACCTGTTGCCGTCTAAAAACTGGCGCAGATGTTGGACTTGGTTCTACTCAATACCCAAACCCAAGCACACGGCCTCCGCAGCAGCAATGGTGCCTTGCATCATGCACAGTACAGACTAGTTTAATTTGACGGGTTCCGAACGAGCTTTTCAATCATTTGTTTGTACGCTTGGAACGCCTCCAAAGTGAGGGGCCCTCCGCTAGGGCCCTCTGGCTTTTGGAGCGGGCTCCGTAGCTAGGATTTGAGACTTCAGCAGAGTCCAGACGTGGAAATGCGCCAAGCTGCCATCGCCCCAGATCATTGGGTAGAACTCGATACCCGCTGCGTTCCACACATCCAGGCTGGGGCCACCTGGCTCTCGCGCGAATTCGCTCCTTTGCCTGCCTGTACAACCCTGTCCTGCAGGCCTTGGAGCTTGTAATCCCAGGTGGCGCCCCAAGAGATGATGTGAGAAAGCCCAGAGAGCATCTCCTGCCGCCATAAGCTGCACCGTGGATGTTCGGATTTGGTCTTCTGATTTTCTTCTGAGTCGAACCATGCCTGGAAAGCCGCAAGCTCTCTCTGCTGACTAAGACGATCCGGGCAAACTGCGGAACCACCCGACCAATCTCATATAATCTCATGACGACATCTGGGCTTCTTTGGGCCCTAGGCCCTAGGCGAGGCTTCCAAGCCTCCTGCGGGCATTTCTCCCCAAGCTCACCGGAACCCTGCAGCCTCCCGCTGCGAAACCCGAATGCCCCGAAGCTTTTTGGGAGAGGAGGCGGCTCCGCAGTCAGCATGTGGTTCTCAATGGCAATGCCACGCCTCAGCCAAAGCACCGCGGTCGGATGAGTCGCCACTCCGCGGGGCTTCGGGGCCCTGGCTTCGCAGAGCGCTCCGTGTTGCCGTCCTCGCGGTACTTCCTGAGCGGACCCACAGGTAGTGGTGCCGATTGAGGTGTCACATTCGGGACATCCGCATCCACGAAAGGGCACGCAAACTTCCCGAAATCCAAGTCAGTGGTGCTTCATGGTTTGCACTTTGCACCTTCACTTTCAATTGCCAATGTTGGCCTCAAGGCCAAGGAGTTGCAGTCACATGTCCGCAGCGCAAAAACAGAGAGGCAAGGTGCTCCCATGGCCAGCAATCGGCGCAAATGTCGTTCTCCAACGCCGCCTGCATGGATTGCACTAACCCGTGTGTTCCGTTCGCTGTCGGCCATGCATATATACGAACATGCGACACAACGGCTCGCCTGTCTATCAGATCTCGCAAACAAGCGAACACAAGCTTAATCAAAAAGAAAACTTGCTCGATTGGAATGCCGGTGAGTCGCTTGATTCCTACAAGCTACGCTTGCTTGCACGATGCTACTGGTCGAATGTTCAGCCATCGGCAATTCAGCCTAATCCAGCCTTGAATGTGCTACAAGTAGTTAGTACGCCAGTCTGGCCGGTCGTGCGTTCCGCTGCATGACCAACCCAGCGTCCCGCCTTGACGCGAGCCTCCTGCTCAGTGAGGAGTCCTCCCTGGGGCGTCTGAAGAAAAACGATCCTGAGATGCATTGCAGTCAGTACAAAGAAACCCCGATGCAGGATGCCGTTAGCTTGCACCTGCTTCACAGCGCCACCTGAGTCTTGGGCTAAACGATACTACACGCCGAGCATGATGCAAACAAGCTTCCGCTCGCCGCATGTGGACGGCTCACCATCGAACTTTGCATCCTCGAACCAAACCTGCTTTCAAGATCTTTCAAGCGCAACCGTCCACACGTGCGCAGGTTTGATAACCCAATGTTGGGGGTTTGACACGACAGGTTCCATGGCCCTTCTGAGCCAAGACTGAACCATCAGGATGTGCATGATACGTGGCTTCTGCCGAACACAGCGGTCGGTCAGTCCCTTCGGCAAAGCCCCTCTCTCTGTACTACTTCCGAGGCGTCAACCTGGGGACCAGGATATTTCGCTATTTGGACGGTTCGCTTGACATGGCACATATCCAGCTAGGCTTCAAAGCACTGCACATTCCGCGAAAATCGCCGAAGGTGGATCAGAGCTTTCTGAAGCCTCCCTCTGTGTGGCCGAGTCCGCCGAACCAGCCTTTCAGTATCTCCCCGCCAGCTCCCCTACCAGCATTTGGAGCCTCTTCGCAACTGTTGCTCCGCACCCGCGGGACGGAAGCCTCAAAAGGCACCGCCAACTTGCTGAGATTTCAACGGAAAAAGCGAAGACCATCTGTTGGAACCGGGGGCGCCATCACCATGGGGCTCCACACAACACAAGACGTGACAAAACCTCTACCTGCACGCGACTATTGGATTGATTGGGTTGTATTGGTGTTCGTACAGGCGCGGGAAAAACTTGGACATAAATCGTCCCTGTCAGCCCTGTATCTGGGTCGCAAACCAAAACTTAGATCACTCAGGTCCTGGCTGCAATAACCAAGATCAAGAGGCTCAAAGCAGTCCTTCCAACAGGCGGATTACCAGGCTCGTGCGGGAACAATCAGGCTGTCTTCGTGGCCGGCCACACTTCGCACGAGGTGGAGAGCTGCAAGCTCGGGTATTGGGGGCATATTACCGAGTTGCCAATCTCACTGAAGTTGTATCCTCGGAATCTGTCCGAATGGCTCGCTCTATCGTGTCCTGGCCATCTTGTTGACTGACAGCTCTGCGAGAGTCTTGAAACCTGGCAACGTATATCGGAGGCTGTATCAGCTTACTGCAGCTTTTGCTTGCAATCCTTCGGGGTCTTCTCCGCTGAAGTCTGCGTCTAGCTCTTGGGATGGTTCCTTCTCCCATTGCGACCCCCGTCGTGCTGCTGACCCTGATTTCTTGAAACATGAGCACGTGGAGTCCGGCCGCCCCTGCAGAAATGAAGAACCTGCCGAACCCCAGAATCCCGAGCCTGCGACGAAGATAACAAGTTGTGGCACGGAGCCAGCGAGGAGTGACCACGGGAGTGTGACGAGACCTCAGCTGCAGTCCAGTCACGTCCAGCGAAGCACTGGCCTTCGGGCCGATTTCCCTCTGAGTCCCGGAAGACCAAGAGCCTGTTAAGTCAAAACACAAAAAGCTGTGTTTAACTAAGATAACTGTTAATCAGAAACAGTCTTGTGCGCTGGCACTGCCAAGCCACTGGTGCTCGATCGCGCTCTGGCGAGGAGGACCCTCAACTTCTAGGCACTGTTTGAGCCGGTGAAAGCGGCACAGTCATGGTGGCTGGGGCTTCTGTGGCTGAATTGCTCCGGAGCCTGAGATCCTGCAACCGACGGACCCTCTCAGGCCCTTGAGTCTGCAAAGAGCGTAAGCATGGCCCCGCGTCAGTGTAGCTTCGTCTGCTGACACGCATGGAAAAATTAAAATCAAGTGGTGGCTGATGGGTGAGCGCTCAACTCCTCCGCTTCTTTTCATCTCCCCGCCAGGCGCGCCCTCATTCGCAGAGCAGGCTGCGGGCGCAATGCGGCGCAATCGAGGCGAGCACCTCTCGGCGGCCCAAACAACAGGTCAATGTGCTTCAATCGTGTGCATGCTTATAGGCCTGAAGACGCTGAGAAGCTATGAGCAGCTTACACGAGCATTTTCCGTCTCCGCGGAAGAGCTGTCGGCACGCTGCAACTTTGAAAAGGGTGACTTCACTCTTCGTCAAAGAAGTCGCCGTCCAAATCATAATGATCATAAAGTCATCATACTCTTCAGGCTCGCTATGGCCCATGTACTCAAGAGTATCGATCTCGCCATCAAAGTCCGAGATTGAGTCCGGTGCATCAGAATCGAAGAAGATGTAGATGCAACGGCTAGCTCCTTCACCTCTAGACTCGTGGCGGATGCCGAGCTCATCACAAAGGACATGGATCACTTTCCTATCGGCTGCGCTGAGAGATGAAGGAAAAGAAAAAGGGTGCCTTCTGGACTTGGCATCTTGTAGGCGCCGGCGCCAAGCAGCAATCTCTGTCTGACCCTCCATGCTCCGAGAAACACGCGTGCCCAGGCCTGCCTGACAACAGAGGCTGCGTGCGGCAAGCCAATTCTTCACTGCGCTGCTTGCGCTGCTGGCGCTTGCTCGGTTCGGCCCTGAGTCTCGCAAGTCCCCACTGCCATGTGCAAAGGTACACTGAGCGCCGTACCTGCAAGAGCCTCGCTGAAAGAATTCACAAAGCACAGTTTTGTAATTGGCTGGGTGCCGCTGGACCGTCGATGTCGAACTTGCACTCGCAGCTGCCGTCGGGTTGGTGCTCTGCAGTTCCCCAGCTCCGTGGGCATAGGAGCAAGCAGATCCCTTCGAGCAGCGTCCCACTTGGTGGTAACGGCAGAGAATGGTCTTGAAGCTAGCGCCACTAGGCCTGTGCAGCTCCATGCTGGGACCCGCACTCTTGGAGCCTGGAATCTGCCGCGCTCCTAGCAGAGATCTCAGCTGGGCAACTTCTGCCTCCAAGGCTTTGACTCTGCCTTCCTGTGCGACAGATACCCAGGTCTTCCCTGATGTCTGACTCTGAGCCTGAGATCGCTGGCGTCCCAGTCGACTGGCAAAAGAGGCCATGCCCTCATCCTCAATGCCCTGCAGCACCTGCGCGAGCTGGTGGTCTTCGGCCATTCGTGCCTGCCTTGCGGCTTCGACCTCGTTCTCATCCTCAGAATCGGAAGTTGAATCCTGCACTTGCAGAGGAGTGTGGCGGCAGAAAGGGCAAGGCGAGCGACCCCCAATGCCAGCTCGCTTCAAGATCTCTGTGCTGCACTCTGAGCACACACGCTGCTTGCCTTCTGTCTGATGTGGTGTGTCACCTGATAGGTGTTTGCACAGATGGGGCAAGGATCGGGCAATGTCATGCTCCTGCTGCTGGGCTGGGCGACGACGGGCGGCGCTTGCTGATGTCCTGCTGCGACGCGGGTTGCACACCCATTGCTTCCAGAGCACGCACTTGCTTCCCGTGTTCTGCAAGGTTGGGGTGGAGATTGTGCGGTTGGTGGCGTAGCCACACTGTTCGCGGCAGTCAAGCTGCCAGACAAGATGCTGCTGGCAAGGGGGATCGATTGTCGGTGTCCCTCTGAAGCATGGGTGGCATATCCACCCGCAGCGGAGCAGACAGTTGTTCCCCCTCTTCTGCCATGTTGCTCCATAGATTGCGCCACTTCTGGCGAAGCCGCACTTTTTGCAGCTGGCATTCCGAAGGAGCGCATGCTGAAGTTCTGGCCAGAGTCAGCAGCAGCCAAAGCCGAAGCTGCCAGTGGCCTTGCCGAGAACTGCTCTGCGAGCTCTCGTTCTGCCTTTCGTGCTGCCGCGAGCCGTTGGGCTTCGGCCACAAGCGCTTCACTGCCAGGCAAAGCTGCAATCAATGCCTTTGCCTCTGCGATGCCAATCGGGAGATAGCTGTTAGTTGAAGTCTGAGCGACATAGTCGTGGCGCACGATTATAGCACAGCCGAAAACATGCAGTTGCTTGTTGTTCAACATGCGGTTTGCAACTATGTTCTCCGGGAAGGGTGGTAAGCTCTTGCTCGGGCGTACAGCCAGCAAGAACCCTCTCGCTGGATTGCGGAGCTGCAAAACCATGACACTGACGCCAGGCACATCGCTCAAGCGAACGCCCGGCAGCATCACCTCGCCCGGCACCCCAAAGTGGCCAAAGCTAAGCTGCTGAGCTAGCCGCTCACCACATTCAGCAATACCGCTGGTACCTTTCACGGCCAGGCTACGCAAAGGAATCCGTACCGCGATAGAACCATCGGGCCGAAGGCAGGCAGCTTCCACCTGCGCTTGTTGTGTTGGCATTCGCCACTATCTCGTCGAAAAGCTGTACAAAGGGGCAGCCAAATTCGTCCGTCTGAACCTCCTTAAACCGAAGAAGAAAGCACAACCACTTTAGGAGACAGGCATCATGCTCATGGCGCGCATCATACCCCTGGGATGCTGCAGCACAAAGCTCCAAGCCTTGTCGCCGGCGGCGATGCGACACATTGCCTAATCAGCAAGGATCTGTCTAAAGTCGAAAGTCCCTGGCGGTTGTTGTTGTTGTTGTTGCTGTTGTTGCTGTTGTTGTTTACTTCTCGTGTCTCTTCTCGTCTTCGTCACCACACAACAAGCGCCGCCCGAAGTATGGCAGTCACCACATCACTGCGAAAGCCACGGGTGCATCTGGGGCCCAGGCAAAATCCAGATATCGTGCAAACAAGGCTTGTGTCAAAGGGCATGTGTCGCACAAAAATGCTGCGGCCACACGCTCAGCACGTGCACGAACCCTGCAACATGAACATGATTGCTTTGTTATTCGTGTGCACCAGAACAGCAAACAACGTTGACCTTGTGGATCTTGTGGCAACAACCAACCGCTGACCTTTTCCCATGCGATCGCCACACCCGCCTGTACAGGTAGCCGGGCCGTGTTACCTTTCTGTGCTAGACGGCCTTGCCCGCGTTCCATGCTGCGCAGCAACCTCTTTGAACGGCCCTGGCAGCTGGAGGCTGAGGCAAGAACTCCGATTTGACTTAGATGTGGATAAGTATCAACTTTGTGTACTTGCCGCCGCCTGTCTACAATTTGTTTAACTCTAAGTACTCTCTGTATCCATTCTTGGTACTGTGCGTTTCCGATTTAACCGCAATCTGAAAGCTCTTCTGACCCCTTGCCAGCTGCAAGCCGTGTTACTCGCACATACACACGACACCCTGGAATCGTTGCTCTTTCACACCAGGTTCCCACAGCACTGCAATGCTGATGCAGCTGTGTCGGAGCATTACGCAACTGTACCTTGGAAAAGGAGGGCATGTCCAATATTACTGAGCAAGCTCTGCAGTCTGCAGTACCATGTATGCCATGCATACTAGACTAGACTCCAGAGCGCTCAGTGCCGCGGAAACTGGAAGCGTTCCAGGCGCTGGCACACCTTCGGCGGCTTGGGGCCGGACTCGGGTCCTCGGGTGATTCGGCTCTGGGGAACTTGGATGTCCAGAGGCTGGACATCCAAATACAGATTCAAATGCAGGAGCTAGCATTGCATCAGGTTTCTTGGAGTCTGTGCGCACAGCGTGCAGAACTGCCAGTGTGCTCGCACAGCAGCGCCCCATGCAGGGTGCCGCATGGCACGGAAGCAATCCAATTGATCCATTTTTCGCTTTGGACCTTGCCTGTGACAGCTCAGCACGTGTGAGCCGATAATGATGCGAAGGCGAAAGCCGTGTGCTGTCGAGGGGCCCTAAAGCACAACCCGCTCGACTTTGCAATGGCGCTTTGAATTGAAGTTTGTTATACACTGATTATACACTCGCAAACATGTCTTCAAGCATGCTTCGGCATACCACGTGCGCCTGAATTCGGCGTCAGCGCATCTTTTCCTGTTCATCCCAGAAGTCGCATTCTTCGGCACGGTAGTGCTCCACCTCTTGGCTGACGCCAGCGTCGAAGCGCATGGCATTGCCACGTTCAGGATCATAAGGATACCAATCCGGCAGCGGCACAATCAGGCGGCTATCCTCCTGAGACTCATGTACATCTGCGATATTCTCTGTGGTATTCCCTTCATACCAAATGAAGTTCGTGTAGGCTCCCTGAAGACGATCTGTCAGCTTAGCCCCCTGCACGACTTTCCCGTCCACATCGATCTTCGAGGGATTCTCAAAGAGGAATGCGAGGTCAGATCCATGTCCGGCACCTGGGCAAGGATAGCAGCTGCCCCCAACGGGTTTTGCATCCATGGCTTGGGAAGCCTTCCTCAGGGCCATCATTTGCTGTTTGTTGAATACCTGCGGCACCAACCAACTGTACCAGAAAGCATGCCCTCCATGTTCGTGGAATCGGTGGACGACCCGCCGCATGATGCACGTAAAGTCTTTGTCTGCGCCCATCACACGTGCCGCCCAGTAAGCGGCACTCCACTCATTTGGGAAGATGCTCAGAGCATAATCTCGGAAGATCGTAAGGGGATACAGTCGCATCGCCTTCTCTGCTGTAGCCGGCGACATCTGTGTCTCCAGATACTTTCGGAGCTTGTGAGCATCTGCATTGGGACCCAGATCCACGAGCTTGTCGCCCAGAGTGTTGCCAATGATGATTGGCACGGAATAATCCACAACAGCGCTTCCTGTCTTGATGGCTTCGTAGGGACCTAAAATCATCTCGACACCATCCACAACAGGCCCATACCATTGCCCGTTGCCACAGTTCATAGTCTCCTCCGCGGACCGTCCGAGCAAGCACCGACGATCAGTCTTGGCGCAGCCAAGACATCGGCAAACGGCGGCAAAGGCAGCCTCTGCAGCTGACATTGGCAAAGCTGCCCAGTCGGTAAAGCCGCCTGACATGATAATGGCGCGTGAGAAATGCCCTTTAGATCTTGATGCCACCAGGTGAACCGAGATAGATGCAGCACCCGCAGACCAGCCCATCACCGTGATCCTCGCTGGATCACCACCGAAGGCACGGATATGCTTCTGAACCCACACCAATGCCAGCCTCTGGTCCTGTATCCCATAATTTCCCGTCGAGTTATCTCTGGCACGCAGGGATTCCGAACCTGAAAAGCCAAAGACGCCCAAACGATAGTTGGTGCTTACAACCACCACCTTGTGGTTCCAGACAAGCTCGGCAGCATCGTCTGGAGCAGTGTCACTTCCAGCCCCCAGGGTGTAGCCGCCACCATGAAACCAAACAAGCACAGGGTTTGGCTTGTCCCCAACACCCCAGGTTGGGGTGTACACGTTAAGGTACAAGCAATCCTCGCTTACACCTTCCTGTCTATAGCCGCTAGGATGCATGCAGGCAGGTCGAAACTGCCTTGCAACCAGAGTCTCGGGCTTCCACGCAGGTGCCAGCTCTGGTGGTTGAAATCGCTCAGCAACTCCGAAGGGGATGCCCTGGAATACGCGGGCGCTTGGATACAAGGTGCCCTCAACCATGCCCAGCTCTGGAATGTCAACATAGGTGGGTGCAACACGGAAATACGGCGAGCAGACCCTTGCCAAGAGAAGGAAGGCAAAGACTCCAGCACAAAGTATAACCATCCACTGGACTTCGGATTTGATAGAACCTTGCTTGTACAAGTTGTTCGAAGCCGCCTCCCTCGTAGTCGACGCAAATCTGCCCGCCTTTTCCACGACAGCATCCAGCTGAGAGGAGGCGCTGCGGATGAGTCTGGCTGCGGCTTGCGTAAGACCCCCTTTTCTCTCCTTGCTATCCTGCAGCAATCCTTCAGAAGCCATGGCGAGCCGGAACCGGAAGCCGGGACTTCCGGAACTTTGGCTTCCAACAGCTACCACACTACAACCCAGGCCCCCACTAATTGCAGTGGCAGGTAAGGAAATGAAAAGCCATACCACGCTTAGTGAGCGTTCAATGGAAACCCATAAATTCACGCGACTCGCAGATGTGGATTTCTGTCCGCGCACCGTAGATTCCGGCTAGGCTAGGGATTCTTGTCTTGAGCCGACACATTCGACACTACGGTACGGAATCATCCGTGGTCATGTCTTTTCTGGATCAGTGCCAGACCCCTGCCGATGATACGAATCACAGTACATGCTTCGAGCATCCGGGGCCTCTTGCATCCATCGTGGCGAGTGTTCGTAGCTTTGCCAGAACCTGGGCGTGCATGACTTTTGTGCCCTCTTCATAGGCTTTCTAGAATTCGGGGAGAGGGGGAGCACTTTGAGCAGCCTGCCGCACTCTAGATGATGGAACGGTGAACAGTCACCCCGTCACCAGACATCCACTTCTGACTTTCAGCAAGAAGCTTGATGAACCAGTGAACACGGCCGTGATCGATGCGCGGCAGAACATGGCTGTCCGGAGGAATCGCGTTACGCTCCTCGACCAGAGCACTTTTCCATTTGCCCCCCTAACAACCCGAAGCTTCTCCATGCTCTTGGGGGGCAAATCATACTGACTTCTATCACTCAGAAGGGGCCCTCGGCCACAGAACAACTCAAAGGGCTTGACTCATGTGCCAGACCCGTTCGGCCCCACCCCGCCTCCAAAAGACGACAGATCTCCTGCAGGCACTGCTGCCAGTGGCCCGCAGAGGCATTGATCTCGGGATCGCATAAGTCTTTGGCATTCTCGGCCGTGATGCGCGTCTCATCAAAGTCGCACATCCCAGCCTCAGTTTCAAACGGCCCTGGCGGACCATGGCATGGGCTTTTCTGGAAATCCGAACCTTCAGCCTCAAATCCTGAAAATGGCTCCGCCTTCTCTGTGGGGAAGATGTACCAGGCCCAACAGCTCTCCTGGCCCAGCGGTCTTCGACAAGAGCATGGCTGGAGCCAGGGGGAGCTAGGCGATGAACGCTTCAACATCTAACTCCCGACACCCAGTAAGTGCGAGCTGGGCCTCGAGAAGCCGTTAGGGTTTAGGGTTTAGGGTTTAGGGTTTCATTGTGAGAAAACCCCCGCCTTTCAAGACTTCCATGAGAGTCCAGAGCCCAGCGCTCTTCCTGGCACGCCCTGAAGTCAAGTGACCACAACTGGTAACTGGATCTATGTGCATACATGCATATGATGAATACATATGCATGTATGTTTGGACATACATAGGATCATACATACATACACCTATTTCGCCTCTATACACATTATCTACAGACCACAAGGTACGCAGCCCTTTGAAATCTTCCTTCCGCATGGTCTCCTTGGCGCCGTCATCCAGCTCGCTCAAAATCTTTTGCATGTGCTTCTCCTCTGGCACTGGTTTGGCTTCGCTGCGATTAAAGCTTACGTGAGGCTTTCAAACGTTCGGTACGTATACATCCCTCCATGCGGGCATCGATTCCCACTCTCAGCTGCTAGGAATGGACACTACATACTCGCAAAACGACCACTTCTCTCTGCTTTTACTCAACACCTATTTCTGCCCGAAGTTTAGCACAGGGGATGTTGAGGGCTCGCTGGCCTGGCATTGAAGAAGCGCTTGAAAAGCCCGCCTCCGCATGTGGGTCAATGTGGACTGCGCGGTTTATTCAGGCTTATACACGCCCTCTACCTGATTTTCTTTATATACCTGCTTTCATCGGCATCCATGCTCCTGCGTGGGTGAACTGAGTCTCTGACGTGGTGTTGGATTTCTGTTGGGTATGCCGCTTGGACGTAAAGATCCAGGTCAAAACAGGGTGCAATAAAAAAATCTGAACCTGCCTGTCGCTGGAGCTGCCGGAAGTCGCGGTCGTCTTGCCTCGGCTCTGTCGTTTCGATCATTTCGGCGGGATTTGTGGCGTCCTTGTGGGCTACACTTCTAATTATCATTCCGAGCCTGCTGCCGTAGCAGCTCTTTCGGATTCAACATGCGATTCGGACCGCTCCTCCTCCTCCTCCCACTCAGTGCTTCCCCACAGCAACGTTTCACCCGTGCAGTTTTGCAATCATTCGGCAAGCCAGCGTATCCTTCGACCGCGTGCATCGTCCCCAGCACAGTGCGCATTTTCTGGAGAAGCTGCATACGTGCCATATTTCCCAAGGCATGATGCTCCGAACTATCGCTTGAAACTCAACAGCATGATAAGTCATGCACGGATGCAGCTGCCAGTGCATGGCTTTCTCGTCATGGATTAAGCCCAACGCCGAATCGGCTCGGCGCTTCGCGGCTCGGCGACAAAGACCTCACCTGCCGAGCCCTCCAATGCTGAGTCCCAGCCCTATATAGCTTATACTGGCAACAATACTATTAGCAGTAGCACTGAAATTATTCTTGATATTCATACCACTTCCAGGAACACTGCGCCACTATCGCACAAGGACGGGCGCAGACAAGGTGCAAACTACGACGACTTCTTCAGGGATCGGTTCGGCTCTGTGGCTGCTGTTGGACAAGTGAGGAAGTTTGGCGCGGCCTTGGCCTTCGGCGCTTTTGCCGCCTTGGGCTTGGGCATGATCTTGTCCGGGGAGTCGACGGCAGCCATGGGGCAGCGCAGGAAAATGTCGAAGAAGGTATGAATTCATCACCATGGCCCCAAGTGCGTGCAAATGCCTGGCCTTTCCTGGTGGGTGTCAACAACATCAAAAAAATTAAGTAGCTCCACGTGATCTCTGAGGAAAACTCTACCTCACGGCGTCCGCGCTGGCACAATCAACCCAGGCAGCATGGCTGCACCATCCTGCTTTGGGAACTAATGCACCTGCCCAAGACACCTTCACATGCGTGCACCCCATGATAACATGCACCAGTCCCAAACCCCAAACCGGATCCGTAGATAAACTCCACAGCCTTTGTAGCTATAGGAGCCGGCATGGGAATCTACTTAGGTGTGATTTGATATCGAATGAAGACGAGCTCAATCTCGAAAGCCCCCATACAAAACCGAAGCCGGGGTGTCACGCCAGAAGATCGTTTGTCGGAGCATGGTCAAGCTCAGTGGATTCACTGGCGCTCCGATCAGACGCCCAAACGGAGGTCTGCAGTTGTTGCCGTCGGCAACAGCTAACTCGCAATGCAAGTCTTTGCAACGTTGCAGATATGTATGTCAATCTGGATTCGTAGCAAGTTGAAAGCACTGGGACAGTTTCAAGTATCGGTCAGCCGGTCAAACTGACTACGCCGTCAGAACCCAAATTCACAAAGCCGACCTGCACCCCCCCCCCCCCCCCCCCNNAAGCCGACCTGCACCCCCCCCCCCCCGTCCCCCCCGAGAAAACAGCAAAAACAAGAGCCATCACAAAGAAGGAGCGGGAAAAACTCCACCCATGAAAACCTCTTAAGAAGCAGGGTGAGAAGCAATGGACCCAGGTTCGTTTGGTTTTTTAGCTCCACTTGTGTGAGTCGTGGTAGAAGCCTGCGAATCGGCTGAGATGGGTTCTGTTCTTCATGACACGATGCTCCTTCAAGCCAGCTCGCACGGTAAAGAAGCGGGGTTGGCGTTGGGGGGCCGCCGTCATTTGCAAACAAACCTTGGACCATGCTTGCACGATGGGCTTTGAAAGAAACGCACTGACACATCATGTAGTGGATGTCAATGGGTTGCCTGTTGATTCGCAAATGATTGTCCATATCCCGCAAATGTACGCGTAAATATGCAAATCTCGATACATATGCATGATGAGGTGAGACATCCGTGCCTGCCCCATCCCTGTCCGACTACCGACAGCCCGCAGCACTCGCGCTGGCCGTCACGACTGCCCCAGTATGCTTCACTCATGAAACGACTGGGAGGACGTACTGACAAACTGCATTAAGTGGACATTGAAGTTGTTTGTGTCCAAAAACCACGTGACATGGCAGGCACAGGACAACTCGCTACTTTGCTACTTGCAGTGGTTCTATCCCCTTCTGACCTGCCCCACGCTTGTCATCGGGGTTTCGGCGCTCGCATTCGCTCAAGGCAGACAAGGCTTCCGGTCTCCACAGCTCCACTACACTGTTGCCACTCTCACTTGCACGGGTTACGATAACAACCAACCACTATTGAATAGGTGTTTGGGGTTTAGTCCCTTCCATGCGACGAAGCCACGCCTACGTTGTCAAATCGGTGAAAGTTTACCCGTTTACCCATTGCTGCAAGAACCCCTTCGGTGGGATACGAACTTCCCCGCATACTGCATCGCGCTCAAATCATCGGAACGCGAGTAGTTTGTTCAGGCTAAGCCGAATTCGTTACAGGGTGCCTTGAGACTTTTTCTCGCAGCCAGCGGCATCGCTACGGTCACTGAGCCAAATTCCAAGCCGAGTGCTCGAATTAGTGCTTAGGATCGGTACTGGAGTCGGAAAGGTGAAAGGATGTGCAAGGTGGTCTCTCCAGAACCCTCCAAGCGGAACGGGATACGGGATACGGTACCGAGAGGTTTCAGGTTCAGGGATTGTGGGAACGGTTCACACACTGGCTCGCCAGTCCATACATGCAGCTGTGCAGATTAGCTTAAGCAAAAACTCCGATACCAGGAATCCGCAAACTAGGGTTTTGTCAACCCTCCCCTCGACGATGACTGCTCGACATTTGCTTACCTCGACAGTAGTGTTGCAAGCTGTTGCAATAATTGCTGTTGCTGTGCTTCATTCATACACACGAGTACAGACATGCTCGCCGGGCTATGCTGTGCTGCACATCTTGTCCAACGGCATAGGCTTATTAAGGTTTGCTTAGTTTCGCTTGACAGCAAGGCGTGCGGTTAAATTGGGAACGACAGCCACCAGTTCTCAGGAGTGAGGGGAAGAGCGAGCAACAGGCACTGTTAGAAACGACCGGGTGTCTCAACTGCCGCAAGTCAGCTCTTACCGTTCAGGTTGCATTTATTATCTCCTCTGAAGCACGTACACCCTGTGGGGCAACTGCTGCGGAATCCCTGGTCAAACTCATGCTAATTATGGCCCACAAAGTGAATGCTAACATGCATAAAATCATCGATCATGTGTCGGCACCTGGAGGCAGGAATCCAATTCTATTTCCAACAGTTGCGATTGAACTTCGTGGGCATGCAGGTGAAGAACCGTCGTCTCTCACCCGACGGCACACCTCGATCACAGTTTGTGGCCACACTTCGTGACTCTCGCGGACTAAGACGACGTTCGTGTTGGGGTAACGAACGGCGTGTGATGTCTCAGTCAACTGGTGCGGTTTGCCCAGGCCCCGGGCTGCGAGGGAGCCTCCACCTGGCTTTGTGTTTCGGGACTGCGAGAGCTCAACCATGCTCAACCCCTGACTCACCGATCATCTCTGTAGTTTCAAAAAGTGTGACAAACATGGCTTCCTCTCACTGTCTTCACGCTTGCGGGCCTTTACTATACACCACCTTCCCCAATTCCTAAACGCCAGAACCCCAAATCCCAAAAGCCCTACGGCTACTGCATTCCTCTTGCACTAAAGAAGCAGCTGCGCTGGGCGACCTTCCACAGGCGCTCCCAAAGCCTCGCAGTGGCCTTGGAGCAGATCGCGGCGCTTGCCGTGTACACATACACTTATGTGTATATACTTAGTCATAACTTCGAGAGAGAGAGAGAGAGATAGCTACTTGTGTGTTTCTTGTATTGAAATATCTACTTGCTTATTATATATATATATATATACATATGTGTGTGTGTATGTATAGACAGATAGACAGAGACAGAGAGAGAGAGAGAGATAGATCTCTCCTTAGTTTAGAGAGAACGTCTGCCTCCCAGACGGGGCCTGCATCGGGTGTTTTTAAGGGATGGGGACAAGACGCTCGCGAGCTCTCGTAGGCTGGTCGGGATTTCGACACGAGGATTTCGCGTCAGGGCCTTGGGGCTTGAGCTTGGGCAGCATGCAATGGAAGTGAGCTGGGGGTGTTGCGGAGGTGGGCCAAGCAAGCCTCCAGCAAGTTTTTCGCGGAAGGACCTCCTTCTTCTATGTTCCCACCACATGGGAATGTCGGTGCTGCCTTCGGGCTGGGTTTTCCATGCCCAAAGCGAAATCCAGCTGGGCTGGCTTACATCACTCGACCGTGGAGTGGTAGGGCTCCGATGACCTGCGTCCCATGTTTAGACTCTTCCCATAAACGCAAGGCCATATCCCAGCCAAGCGGATTCAGCGTCAGCGCGGCTTCGAATTGCTGCGGGACCTTGTCCCATTTGCCAAAGCCTATATGCTTCTGATGCTTTGAGCCATCTCACAGGTCTTCCTCCTCATCGTCGTCCTTACCCGGAGGCGCCTCCTGGCATGCAACTTAAAAACTCTACCAATCGCGCGATGCCAGTTGCATCTCGGGACACCCCACATCAAGCCCAGATCAAGCAGAAAGAAGTAAGCAGAACCCCACAAGAGCTCCTTCGCAGTGCAGAGCTGGGCTTTCCGGAAGCACAGCCAATGCTCTGTGAGCGCGCCGTACATGCGGCCCTGTGCCCAGCTTGCCGGCTCACGTGCAGGAGCTTGACTCGAAAGACAGGTAGATGGATGTATTTCAGGGGAGAAAGACCGACCCCGCCCGGCCTCGTGGCGAGCCGCCTTGTCAACAAGCTCTTCTTGGAATGTCCTGTCCCAACGAGCCCGGGCTCGGGTTTGGCATGGGGCCGGTTCCGAGTCCCTGTGCCTTCTGCCTCAAGAAAGGGCAACTCCCCGAAAAGTCTCCCGCTTCCCGCTGCCTCAGGAGCGTGGCACAGAGCTCCTTAGATGCGGCGCGGTTCTTTTACAAGCAGGCTCCACCGAATCAGGATCAGCTGGGCATCCGTAAGGTTGCCCTTCGCTGCCTCACTGGTCCCCAGGAGCTGGAAGTGCTCGCTCCTGAGGCCGCTTTCGGTATAGGATCGGTGTCGCTCCAGAGCACAACGGCTTGCTGGTGGCAATGACCCTGTGAACGCGGTTCATCTTCCAGAGCATCTGAAAGAGTGCAACCCGGAGCGTGTGAGGAATGTTTCGGCCGCCCCGCGAAACTGAAACCGAACGTAACTCCAGCAAGCTGCTTCCAGGGGGCGTAAGAGAGTGCGAGTTGCCACCACGAACGTCATTGAAGTCTTGGTAGCTGGGCGGCGACCTCGACTCGGCACCCAGAGCCCAACAACAGACACCAATGTCGTTCCAGCTCCGCCCTCCGAACAAAGCTTTCTCAGCTCAGCAGCTGCCCGGACGGAGGCACCCACAGCACGACCTCGGAAAGCGATGATGAGGCCCTCGAGTCAATGTTGAAGAAAAAACGACACTCAGACAGCAGGCCTGCTTTGAGAAGCGCCGTTGGGCGCAAGCGCCAGCGTCGGCAGCACCGCTGCCAGCCAGGGCCTGTGTCACAGAACTTGCAGGGCAGCTAGATTAAGTAGTTCGACCGTTGATGAAATTCCATCAACACCATGATGCTGGTCCATACCTCTGCCTCCCAGGTCCCAGCGGCACTTGCACGCACGTTACAGGGAGAGGCTCTTTTTGAAGCTTAGGACCGGAGGCCGTGATCAGACAAGCACTGCGCAGCGCAAGTTGAACTACTGAGTTACTGCCCACTGACAAGACTGTTTTGGAGGTCACGACACCAAGTTCCGAAATGCCTGAACACATCATCTGCGCTGCTTGCTCTGAGGCTCTGAGTGCGGGAAGCCTTCTCCGCTAGGAGCCTTCTCTGCTTTGCCTTGACACGCCTGGATCAGGCATTGATGCGATGTGCGGAGAAAGCACCAAACATGCCGTGCAACTTGGGACAGGACGCAGCCTTATCGGTCGGTGACTGCTCAGTCTTCGTTGCAATCATCCCACATTGTAACACAGACTTCGAGGCGAACTGAAGTATTTCTTGCCAGAGACGCATGCCGTTCACATTCGAACCACCCTACGAAGGAACCCCCATGTACATGACGAAAGCACAACACACACCCATCGAGAGATATGAATGTCAAAGAGTAAGGAAACGGTCCGGGTCGGAACAACATCTCTCGGCACAACGAGATTAACTGCCAGTAATTGGCAGATCCCCAAATCTCGCACCAGCTCTGAGCCCTGGCTTTGGCATCTTCTCCAAGAGAGCCGCCCGCAGCGCTTTGGCCGCCCAGAGGCCTCTGCAGCTTTCACGCGGTTGAGGATGTATAGGGCTTTCACAGCCAGGACAGTTAGCTTGAAAGCCAAAGCTGCTGTCGAGGCTTGGCTGGGCAACCCTATTTAAACCCCAACACCCAAGTCCCCTCAGCTCAACACAGCAGAGGCACAGGCACTACAGGATAACGGCCCTGGCGCAGGCAGGGCAGCCTCTGCGGCCTTGACTTGAGAAAGTGCGTGGACGAAACTGGGAGATCTCAACAAAACGAGCTGTTTGTGTGTGTGGTAAGAGCTTCGTCGTCAGTCTCCTGGCACACCTGCGTCAGCGCCGCGGGGGAATTGCAGTTCGAAAGTTCGAAACATAAAACCAGATTCTCGCAAAAAACAAGACTAAGACGGACGACAGCATAGTTTTCAAGCTTTAAAGGTTTGGTAAGTAAGTCTGTAGCCCATGACCTGGCACTCCGAAGGTTCCGGTCTCGAGGTTGCATCTACAGGCCGGCAACGAAGAGTGTGCACACAACATGAAAGCTCAGCACTCCCCTTTGTGCCCTTCATTCGTTGAGAAGAAGCATTGTAAAGCTATGAAAACGCCGTAACGCCGCGTAGATGCCGGATTTCGCCAAGCCCCGAACCACTAGTGAGGGAACAGCATGGTCTCGCCTCCCTTACTCTGAATCTCCTGGTGCCCACCGACCCCGGCCCCATTTGGTAGTTCATTTACTCTGAAACAGCGTCTCCTGCCTCCTCCTCCTCAGATGTGCCAGCTGACAGTCTTTTGCGAGAGTTAGAAGGGTGGCAACACACAGAGAACACGATTTCCAACTTAAGCATACTACTTACTACATGCACCTTTTGAAACCAAAGAGCAATCAACTGATCGGCTCTGACTAAACTCCTAGTAACAAGTATTGACAAGTTCATGACATTCTTGGTTATCGACCCTGTGAGTCCAAGCAACAAATGATTTGGACTAGACTGACTAAGCGGTCCAAATCGCTGCTGCGTCCGCGGCCAAGACCAGCGATATAGCGACGGTTCGCAGCATGGCGTCAACACCCTATCAACCACGCCAAGAGCACGAGAAAATGGACATTTTGTGCCCTGTGGTGCGGGCATGGCAGCTCATGGGATGTCACGGGGAGAAGGTTTAAGTTTAGTGCCTGCTCTTTGTTGGTTCAGCTTTGGGGCTTGGTGACCGGAGGTTGCCCTGGCCGACCTCCGCCCTGAAGCAACTCCCACGCCTAAAGGATTGGAGTTTTTGAAACAGCTCCCAAGCCTTGAGCCCACAACTTCAGTCGCAGATTCCGCGAGTGTGGATTCATGTTGTGGGCATCTTGCTTGAGATAAGGGGCAGGACAACTTACCCGAAGCCTCGAAGCCGCTCGAGCCAAGCGGGGCCGGTGTCGAAAAGGGAAGTCTTCATCACCCCCGCAACGTCCAGGGTCTCTATGGTTTTGAGCGGACGTTCATGGGGCATATTGGGTGTGGGGTCCTAATAGCCTGAGTCCTTGAATTCCGAATTCTGTTTGAGACCTGCGATGGCTAAGTACGGTCAGGAGGCCTATGTGAATGTGTCAAAGTCGGTACAGTGGTCCTCTTTTCCAGTGTCACAGAAGCGAAGCTGCTGTCGAAGCAATGAATGGGGGCCCCCAGAACAATCGTTTCTGGGAGCCCCCGATAAGAACGCTGAACCTGCAAACTCGCACGCTGAGCAAAGTCTATCTAATACGTTACTACGAGCTTGGAGTCCTCCCTGCAACATCCCACGGATAGATGCTCGGTGCAACTCGGGACGACTACTCCGAAGCTCTCTCAAAGCCGACCCGACTTCCCATATGCCATACTAGGACATAATGCGACGCACAATATGATTAGACGAGTATCGCCATCTACGCCCTCGATGTCGGAAAATGGAGCACGGCGGAGTCTTTCCGCGCACGACTGGCGCCACAAAAGTGACATTGTGAAACTCTTCCTCAGGATAGCTACGGCTAGGCGGCTAGGGCCTTGGCAGCAACGGGGGCTTCTTGTAGGCTCCCCTAGATGATCAACCGTTCTATACCAGACGAGAACCTCATTCCGCTGCGAACCGTCTTTCCTTGCAGCTGAGCCGAACCCTGCAGGGTGGTTACAAAGAGAAAAATGTGGATTTCGAACCAATAGCAGGACCAACAATTTACACACTGCTCCGCAGATGTCTATCTCGTGCGATGGCTTTGGCAGCAATTTATTGAGCCATGCGACAAGTCGACAACGCCGGAGTTCCAGCAGAAACCGCAGATGGACACAAAACGAAACAGACTGAACATGGAGACAGGTCTCGAAACACTGAAAGTCACCACATGTTTCATAGAACCAACCACCGAAAAAAGGAACTCTGGGGGCGCCTCTGCGTCAAACCTCCTGCGCAAGATCCTCGGTCTCCCCGAGGGCGGCGAGCGGATCTTCCTCGCCGAGTCGGGAGCCGGCAAACAACTCAGGCTGACGTTCAAGTACTCTGCTAGTTAGAGGATCATGGGACTTAGTAAGTATTGTTATAACTAAGGTAACTATACTTATAAGCCCAATTAGGGGACTTATAACCTTACTTACTAAGTCCCATGATCCTCCAAGTGGTTGGACCCTCTGAGAACCGGGAAACCTCAGGCAAGCTCCTAGTGGAGAGTTGGAGAAGACAAAAGCCGAACGTTGCAAGCTGGGACACCTCATCCGGATCTTTGACCGACTCGATGCTGTTCCAAGCCGAGAGCCGGCGCTGCTTCTCCTGCGACCGGGCCTCGCGAGTCTCGAATCGCTACGCGGTGTCCCGAGCCAGGCGCAGCACGTAGCCCACAAGCTTTGACAAGTTTGGGGTGCGTCTGAAAGCCAATGCATATAGTGTCTTCATCAGCAACTCGACTACTTGGGCAGGTGGACGGCTTTACCCAAACACGTCGAAGGGCACAGACTCTACAGTGTGTAGTGTGTTGTCATCACTGCATATATGTTTCATAGGAATCCTCCCTGCGGCCGTCGGCTCGGCTCACACGACAGACTACATAATTCCACCACACGCCGCCCGTAGCCTTGCCGTGCGTTCAACGTTCAACATCGCGCCACATGAAGTTGCTTGGAGACTTAAGTGACAACCGCACCTCGTCTTTGAAGGAATAGAACCGAGAGATCTTTCCAGAATCTCGGTGCTGATCACCTGCATGGGAGTCCAGGTCGCAGGATTGTCCAAGCTGTTCCAACTCTGTGTGTCTGTGTACAACTATATGTGAATCTGAGCGGGTGCGAGTTGTTTGAGAGAGAGAGAGAGAGAGAGAGAGTTCGAGGATGTTTGCGGGTATGTGCGTAGGCATGTGCGAGCGTACGTGCTGTACGAGTGCCTGTGTCTCTTTGTGTTCGTGCGTTTAGCGCATACATACAAGTTCTTCCGAACCTCGCTTGTGCGGCTCAAGCTCTGCTTCCTCGTGGCTTTCCTCTGCGCAGCTTTGGTCCTGGGACTGGGCTTGGGCATCCGAACCTCTTCCGAGTTGGATGGGTGCAAAAGCAAGATGAAGGGAACAACCTGTACATTGCCTGAGAGGCTCACAGCATGGGGCTATGGATTCCCAGTAAAACTAGCTCAGCTTCCATCGAACTAGTGGCGGCTCATTGCTCTGCGGCCATGCTCTCTCGGATGAGTGCAGGGTAAGACCAAGATGGGAAAAGGGGAAGGGGTAATGTTGTTGCTGAACACCAACTGTGGGCTTCCACTGCCGGTATACCTGTAGCTCCTGAGGCACACATCCAGTCCCACCAGAACCGCACAATCCTGATTGACAAACAAGATGCAGCGATAAGCGAAAGAAAATGCCGGACGTCGGCAGGAGCTGGCAACCGATACCTGGCAACATCTGGGCTGTTGCTATCGAGCGAACGCAGACTCATGATGTATGGTGTAATGATCAAACCATGACAGCTATTTTGCATCCTGATCCATTTCTTAACTATCGCAACTTAAGTCCCTAACCAGAACACAGACACAGATCCCTTCGGGCCAACTCCACGACTCCAACAACCATACCCGGAAGCCACAAGCACCGAAAAGCTGCTACGCAGACATCGCAAATAACCTCTGCGAGAGCCACTGACAGGCCATTGGGGGTCTATGAAGGCGGCCTTACGCTGACCACATTGGCTTTTTTGAACCCCGAAGGCCTTGCGGTGGTCTCGCCGGGGCCGACCTTGACCGTGTAGGCGTGGCTCGGGGCCTCTTGGAACATGGACCTTCGCTGCGGCACCGTAGAGGAAGCAACATGGGGAGCTGAAGGGTTGTGGCGGGCAGGGCGGGGTAGCCAGAGAGGGTAGGGCCCTAGGGAACACGGCACACACAAGGATCTTGACAATCGAGATCAACACAAGAACCGGACATGCAATTTGGCAAGGCTTTGGAGCCGGCAACTTGCTGAACATAGTTGAGACATCCTGTCTTTGCTTCGGAATCGAACAGGCCCGAAACCGACTCATCCTTTTTCGCCAGCAACTTCATACTGTCAGGACGGTCATCATCCAGAGATGAAGCCGAAGAACTGACAAAGACAGGGTTAAGGGTTCGACGCATAAGAACAGCTTTTCTCTCACACAGCCAGGAATCTCAGGAATTTCGAGCTGCGGATCACAAAGATGATACAGATATCCTAACCCCTGATTCAGCGACACCGGAATTGGGACTACGCCGCAGGTGAGACTTTGGCATGCCTCAATCGGCAGCTGCAGTTAAAGGGCCGTCCAATGCAGTAGCCCGTTGGCTTCCTCGGACATGCTGAACATACAACTACCCAACATTGCTCTCTCGCCCTATGAGACACACCTGCGATGGCTCGGACGCCTCAGTCAAAAGGCCTTTGGCCGCCAAAGAGGCAGACGAGACACAACAAAACAATCCTGTTCAATCCATCACCTTCGAAGTCTGCGGAGTGATGGAGTGTTTAGCACGTTGCTTCTCAAGGCATTCAGCTTTGAAGCGGAAGCGGGACAGCACTTCGTAAAGTGATGGTAGTGGTCCGCAACGGGAGAAATGGAAGCTACCACCAAACCCCGATCCAATCCAAAGGCAATGCCAATCAGAATGGCATTGGAGACTTTGGTTGGTGGGACACAAGAAGCCGGCCGGGCTTCCAATCCGATGCTTGACAGGCTGTGCATCAACATCATTGTAGTCAATTACAGTATTCTAGTATAGTAAGCATCAACACATGAACACACAATCAGTGAACACAAGTTCAAGCGTGGATGCCCGCCAGGGTCAAAGACCAACGGCCGTTACCAGCCAGTCCCCTTGCAGTGGTTTGCTGGTTACTGCAGGATCCTGGCCATTCGACTCGAAAATACCTTGCAACCTCCCACATGCCATAAACAAGTGGGCTCCACCGCCCAAGCCCTCATGAAACGAGGTAAGAAACGGCACCTGCAAGTGACCACTTGATGTACCAAGCAGGAAACGCCTTGCCTCCACGGGTGTGTCGAAAATCTACAGCTGCACCCATCCAATTACCCAAAGTTCCTCCAGAAGTGCACTGATGGCCAGGAGCCAGTTGAACAAAAAGGAGTATCACGGCATTGTGCACAACGGTCACGGATTTTGCTCAGATGACGAAGCCTCCGCCACGGCAAACACCTTCAGAAGAGTGGGATAAGAGCAAACTTGAGGGGCAGCACAAAAAGCTCAATCGCAAACAAGATGGAGACTCGTCGTAGCTTCTCTCGAAGCCCTTCGTGAAAGGTTCAAGCCGGCCTTCCCGAAGCCGTGGCTCTCCCTCGAAATGCCGGCAGCCCTGAACAAGGACTCGAAATTCCTGAGCCGGCTTTGAGAGCAGAGTGCAACAAGGTGTCACGAAAAGTAGTAGCAGCAGCAGCGTCACCGACAACATCGTAGTCTCTAGCAGTTCCGGATTGCGTATCATTACCATCATCGCCGTGATCGTGATCGTCATCGCCAGTGTTATCGCCACTGTCATCCACAGAACTGCTGACGCTTCCGTAACCATCAACATTTTGAAGAGCAAACATCATCTTCGTCACTGCGCCTATCATCATCACAGCATCGCTGTGCTGATCCGTTCATTTCGACCCTCTTTGGCTCACCAAATTTTCGTTATCATGATCATCGGGAGTAGTCATCTCCACCTCCTGTTGGCTTCCTTTACTGGTTTTGGTCTCATTGGCATGACCAGTGGTTTCCTGTTTACTCATCATCCCTTGATCACCTGCGCACCGTAAATACGAGCTGGGAGTCTTGGTGCGCGCGGCCTTGGGTGAGGTATTTGCCAGGACCTGGCACGGTACCAGTCAACGCACAAAGCCAGTTCGTCTACGGAGCTATGGGCCATGGGAGCTCTTCCAGACAAAACCGGCCCAACACTGCCATTTCGAACAGAAAAGCCCCCGCGTCCATATCTACAGAAAACGTGCATTGATCGATTTGATCTCCAAAGGGGACCAAAGCCTGCGCCAACAAGAGCTCGACTTTCGTTTCCATGCGGAACATGTCGATGGCCTCCATTGACACATCTGCTGATATCAGGCTATCGGGGGTTTGCCACTTCCGGATCAAGAGTTGCATCTTCGAAACAGTGCAACGTGATACCTGATATTCTCCAGCCATTAAAAAGCTCATAGATTGCTCTGATTGTTTCGTTCAACCGACATGGGCCTATTCGCACCCAATCGCTCCGTCTGAATGAGGCCAGCCCTCTTTTCGATGTGACATACAGTTTGCAAGTTATCCGCGATCCGAAGATGTGGCAAGCTGGCTCCTAGCGCCCCGGAGTGCAAAAATCATAGAGACTAAGAACACAACACGACTCACAGGGAGGTGGGTGACACGTCATGATCAAAACTCGCCACAAGTCATCACGTCTTTGGTGCATTCGGAGAAGCCTTGGCAGGCCCTTTCAATCTTCTGGCATTTTCGAGGAACCTTGCGCGAGGATCATGAGGCTGAGGTCAGGTGAGGTCGGGATCCCTGGTGTAATGAAGAATGCATCCTGCGTCGGCGACGCACCGCTACTGCTACGCCAGAATGGCTTCTGCGCTTGAGCTGAGCACACACTCGAGGGTGGGTAGCTGCCCAAGTGCTGCAGCTTTGCCCCGTTTGATGTTGCGTTGCATGCTGTGGTGTGGGTAGGCTCTGCTGTATGTGACTCATCAGGGCCAGAGGACACGACACAAATTGCAGTTGCCTGGACTGCGGCCGAGAAGCTCGTCAATTGATATTTCCCCGTCTCCATCATCTAACATCTCGAAGAGACCCAGAAGGTCGTGGTACTCTAACCTCGGCTTCATTCCCCTCCAAGCCCAAAGAAGACAACGGCTTGAAAGGCGCCGGTAAGACCGGCGTGAGCTGCACTCCGCCGGATTTCCACCGAGCGGCTCGAGCTGGCTCATCCAAAATTTCAGCTTTGGACTTTGGACCTGAGAGCGGAGAGACTTCGAAGTCTCCAGGTTCAGGGGAAAGGAGAAGACTACCGTCTGAGCCGGGACTTGACCCATACCTCCCCACAAAACAACGGCTGGGAAACGGATTTATGCGAGCAGTAGGCTACCAGTACGATCTAGTGCAGCAAAGATGGCAACGGCAGAGCGGTCACCATTACATGTGAGCAGGAGCGGGCAGACGCCGCGGAAGCAGGCAACAGGCCACAAATTGGCAAATTTGGCCGAGACCCGGCGTCTGCATGTACAGAGGCCTGGAAGCTACGAGCATATTCCTGGTTAGCTAAGCCAGGTCCTCCAGCTTGCACATGCAAAGCAGGAGAGCTTGTGCGGCGCAGAGCTCGCCAAGCAAACCCAAGTATGTTCGGGGTTCTGGGTCTACAAGTCTCGGGGCTTTTCGGGTTTAGGGGTGCTTGGTTTGTTTAGAGTTTCATTTGAGAAGGTTACTTTCCAAGCCAGCAGAAGACGAGCAGCTAGTTGTGAAAACTCATCCAGCGTGATCGAGCCGTCTCCAGAGGTATCGATCGCGTTAAACAGCCTCTTCACCTTCTTCGAGTACCAGGCCTTGCAGTATCAGGAAAATTTGGAGGCGGGATTTCTTCGAAGGCTCGCGGAAGAAAACCTGCATCCGGAATTAGCATCTCATCAGGCTGTTTATGTAAGGCGTTGCGTGACGACTAGGTCGTTCATTCCGGTCGACATTTCGGGGGAAGCCCTGACGCCAATTTCCACGGATCGGGGATCTGCGCCACTCGCAATCTGCATCGAGGAACGGGCACATGAAGAGGACAGAAAAGGTGCTCGTTGCTTCGGTCTTTGCTTCGCAGTCACCACTTAAGCCGGCGAAGACCTATGTAAGTTACTGATGTCACACCAGGCTGCCCAGTCTTTCTGCTTCTGCTTGAAGGCCAAGTCTTCATCATTATTTGCCAGCAGCATGGTTTGCTGAACGAAGACTGCATTCACGACATTCAACCTGGGAGCTCAAGAGGTCGAGGGAGGAGCACTGTAGGGTTTTTTACTACAAAGGCTGGGGCTGGGGGCAATGCTTCCATCAACTGCGCAAACCAGAACAAACCCTAAACCCAAAGGCCCTAAGAAACCCTTAGCTCTCTGTCAAATCCTGGCACCACCTCGTGAGAGCACGACCTGAACAAAAAAACGGCCCCCCGCCCCTTTTGTGAACTATCGGGTTTTCTGCCCGGCAACACAGCGAAGCCTATCATGCACCGGTAGACCAGGAAGAAGATCGAGAATGCCTCGTCCACGTGGTCGACGAGGGCTCTACAAGGCGGCCCCCAATTTGCGAATAATATCCTGGGTTGTAGGTTCGGGCCCCCCGGCCCCCCCCCTCCAATTTAATGCATGAATAGGTACCTCGGTACCTCTATAGGAGCCATAAAAGAAACTAAAAAGATTCCCAAAGTGCCACCTAGCGTCTCAAACATCGTCAGAAACGTCCTTACAGCAAAGGGCTCATATGATATTCGCAAGACCACGACACCCGACTGGAGAATACTACTGATTTTGTCCGCAAGGTTGGATTCTGTGACTAAGAAACCAAAATCAAAAGAAGCAGAGGCTGCCAAGACTCCGACTGAAGGTCCCGTAATAGTCCCAAACCCTTTGACGATCTTCCATAAGCTTCGAGTCATCCTGAAGCAAGCTTAGGGCTTGGCAAAAATCCAGGCTGAAGGGGTTTTGGGTTCAGACCTTAAGGCCGAGGGTTTCAGCTCGACACTGGGCTGTTTGGATGTGCGCGTGTTCAACGTGTGACCATCCTTCGGCGCTGTGTCAGTGGGCGGGGTGCGTTGCAGTATCTCATATTCTATCTAGGTAGCTACATATACATAGAGAGAGAGAGAGAGGAAGAGTGACAGCCAAAAAGCTGCAACAACAAGTTCTTGGACACGTGGGGATGCAAACCAGTGTTACGCCAGAGCCAGGAATCCGTGACGAATTCGCGCACCAAAGCGCCGACGATCATGCCCGCAATGCACTGGATGAATGTGAGCAGGCAGAACGACCTGAAATTTTAGTTTAAACACGCAAAATCACAAAATCTGACGCATGTCGGCACTGCCGAGTCGGCACCAGGACGAGAGGCCAAAAAAGCATGTCCACTGAGGATGCGCAGCACTTCAGGAGAAGCTGCAAGGAGTCCATGGATTTCCTTGGGAGCTTCGAAAAAAAACCAAGCCGGGAGGGAACACAAAATCGCAAAGGCCCTGTCGAAGCTCTGCGGCTTCTGCGAAGCTCCCGCAAGGAGTGATGGCGGAAGAATGCCCGGCATCCGACATGATTGCAGCTGGATAGGACATGTCTGACTCCAGCGTTTACCATCATAATGCCTGGCGGTTCTGCTTGTCCTGGTACTCTTTTGAAGGTGTTGGTTCGATTTTCAAAGCACCAACAGAAGCTATCCGAAAGCCGTTTTTCTTCCCTTCGCATTTACAAGACGAGGGGCGACATGGTGACCATGCGCAAGGCCCTTGCCAGCTTTCCGAGTCGCAGCAACCGCAGATAGATCGGGTTAATCGACCTGGATCTAGCGGCATGCCAAAAACTGTAGGTGACCAAACGAGCCAGGACAGAGCTGCTGCATCCAACTTTGAAGCCCGTCTCCCGCAATCCGAAGTCCAAAGCCCCAACTAGCTGAAAACCAAACATGACCGTGAGGCAAACTTGGGAAGAACCACTGGATCGAGGAGGTAACGACCACAAAAGCATCGATCCAATTCCTGGAAGCTGGGAGGCTACACCCCAGAGCCCACAGCATGTGTGGGATCGGATAGACGCCAGCCAAGGGCTATCGGGGCCATTCATGCTTGAGGCGGTGCATGCTCGAGGTTCTTCAGGGCTTTTCCTATAAGGATTTTCCTCCCCAATGCCAAGGGTCATGAATGCTCGCCAGAAACGACAGCGAAGCACGATGATGCGCACAGTAACATCTACTGCGAAGATCACCGTGAAGACCAGATCTCCGATCAGCCTCAAAGGTCAGTGAAACTGCAAGGAAAGAGCTGACTTATAAATAATTGGGCTACCCTTATAAGCCCGAGCCAAGCAACAGGACCTGGTTCATGGTGGGCCGAGCAGATTCCGAGGGGAAGAGGTCTGTGTACTTCCCAATGCGGTACCTGAGCTGATAAGGTTCCGCACAGAGATCGGGCCAGCTTACTTCTCACTTGCAGCTCCTCTCCTGACGACTGTAACCACTTTACGTTTAGTTAATTCCATTCTCAGCCAAGTAGCCCTGCCAAGGAGCCCAGATATTGCCTCGCTCGCTCGCACATGCTGTATCACGCACGAAACACTGCTTGGCTTGCTTTTTGTGTCTCTCTTGCCTGCTTTCTCTCCCGGTTGCGTTTCTCTTCCTTGCTTTCTCTCCCTCTCTCCCTCCCTTCCGGGAGTGAGAAACGAGCGCAGTTCATTGTAAGCTAAAGCCTTGTTGTATACGATGTCTTTTCACAATAAACGTACGCTCTCGATGACACGGAAGTCCGCTAAGACCGTTTGCACACCATGCCTGTAAGAGATTGTACGCGGCAGTAGACAGACAGGAAGGGGACATGTACCAAACATTCTACCCCGTTACAAATCTTTCCTGACTTTGTAATTCCATGGTAAGGTACGAGAGAAACACAAGTGTTTCCCCCACGTGGAGGATGTCGGATGTCTACGGCAGGGGAAAACCCCCGCCTGCTTGTTCAGACTTCGTGAGAGTGGGAATCGACTAGCAAGACTACAGATGAACTAGGAAGCTTGAAAGTTGACAAGGTTGGTGTGTTCCCATTGCCACGTCCTCCCCCTCTTTCTCTCTCTCTCTCTCTCTCCCAATCTCTCTCCGTTCTCCGTCTCTCTCTCCGTCTCTCCCTCTCCGTCTCTCTTCTTCTTCTCCGGGGTTCAGGGAGCGAGTAAAGCTCCCCGCGCCGGATGGCGCGCCCCTGTTGTGGGGCCTTGTGGGGGNNTCTCTCTCTCTCTCTCTGCCGTCGAACCCAGATTCGAGACCATGTTGGCAAAGACAGAAGCGTCGTGCGGTGCCAGTGTGATGAGGGGCAGACAGAGGTTCTGCAAAAGCCGAGTTGGGCTTTGACGGCTGCTCTGATACACCAAGCATTATCGTCGGCACACTCGCAAAAGTATAATTTAACCTAGATGCTGCGCACCAATTTCGAGGTTCACATGTGGTAGTATATGGTAGTCTTGATAACAGCAACGCCACCACCAGTAGCACCACGCCCCCCCCCCCCCCCCCGAGCAGAAGCCCCACGACCAGCTCACCACCAATAACCCCAAGAAGAAGGAGAAGACGACGTAGCTTCAGTTCATATGAGTTCATCACACTCTTGAACTGAAAAGCTTCAGGTACGGCTTCAACTGCATCATCTGACGCTCTGTAGCAGAATCGAACGTCAGAACACTGAAGACTTGAGCTACGGCAGTCGTTGCGCTGCTTTCAAGTCGCATCTCGAAAGCCATGAATGCAACATTGGCAATCAATAGGACCGAGAGCAGCGACTCGAAGGCCTCTCCATGGGGACGAGAGCGCTCAGGGCAGATCACCCAGAAAGGTTGCCCACGTCAGTCATGCTGCATCTATGGGTCTTCGTTGATGTAGGGTGGATGGGGCCCCTGGCTCCAACATCAGAGTTTGTAGCCTGAAATTAAAGTCTGATCGAGAGGAGTAGCTAAGTTGTCGAGCAGCACTGGGGAACTTGCCTAGGGCCAGCAGGTGGCCAAAATTTTCCCGGCTCCAACATACTAGCCTTGAGTCTTAGAATTCCAGACCCGACGGTTTCGCGTACCTTGGATGTAAGTTCGTGGGCTTAGACTCCGAAACGGGAAGCGGCCCGCTCGTCTCGCCGGGAGAAAAGGGAGGACAACTTACCAACGGGTTGCTCTGTTCAGTCTGATTATGATGTTTAGTGCTTGCCATCTATCGAAGTCCCTGGTCGCCTGCCCCTGAAGAAAGGCAGCAAGACGTGCGTTCACGCTTTGGTCTTCGCTCTGGATTTCCTGCGGCTGGCAGTTGCGGCAGGGCCAGGCACTGTTGGCTCAACCAGTTCGTTGCCCACATCCCTAGGTCCTAAGTTTCGTTTGTACTTGCTTAGCCTGCTTAGCTGGATGTGCGCTGAATGCCCAGATCGTGGGCTTAGTTAGATCTTCCAATGCTTTCTGCGCACCGAACCGCGGCTACGGCTACTGTACTACTGAGCAACCTGCACACAGCCAGCTAAACTCAGAAAGCCCCGAAAGACCTGCTCGAAGGACAGGTCGAACTGATCGAAGTGCTCCATGGAGTTGAGCCAACTTCCCTGGCGGCTTTGCTACTCCGTTTCTATGGCCAAAGACCTTACGCTTCGGGGAATTCCACTGGACAGTGCATACAATTAGTTAGGCAGCAACATCTTTTATACGCAGATGCCCGCAGCAAAGGCAGCCTCTACGCTGACGTCGCCACGGTGCTGGGTAGATCCACCCATCTCACTCGATGGGGACCTAGGCGAACCGATGTGATGAAATTCCAGGAGCCCTGGACCCATCTTCAGCCCTCAGCTGGGCGCTGTCACATGACGGGCTTGCGACTTTCCGCCTTGATAGGCTTGTATTATATACCATGACGGCTGCCCTCGCACGAGTAGCGCAACCCTTTGACAGCATCCTAACGAAGTGGTCCAGTCCAGTAGTCTTGCGTGTCAAGTCTGCTGGGGATGCTTGCAGGGCACTTCCGGAAGTCGCTGCTGGCCCGCTCTCTGCTAGGATCCCCTGCGCTGACAAGGGATTAGGGCTCACTGCTTTGAAGGTTTACGTTTCGGGTTCGGGTGAGTTTAGGACCCGTCGAGCTTCGCAGCAGGACGATGGGCTTTGCTGCTGTATTCAGGCAGTGGAGCATTCCGGAGGGACAAGGCTGCCTGGGCAAAACCAGCACCATATCTCTGGGAATGGAGAACAGCAACCTGGCAGCCTGAAAGTCCCGAGGCACCCGCAAGCTACATACAACAAAGCAGCGGGAAGGGGCAGCCGCGCTCCGGACTTCATTCGATGTAAGAAACGAACCGCCCCAACAGCAGCACCTGTACTCGTAGGACCAGGCTCAAATGACAGCAGCAAGGACAACCAGAACAGGAATACTAGAACGTCCGCACAGCCGACGATGGCCTCGGTCTTTGCTCGTCTCACGCTCCCGGAGCTCACGTCCCCGAGTATCGTCGCCTTTTCAACTCAAGGTGCTTGGCTTTCAGCAGTTTCCCGTCACGATATCCCCAGACTGTATTCCAGGGGTAGGCGGGTCCCAGTCAGACGTGCACTTCTTTCTAGCTGTTTTGCGGCGGCTGGCCATTAAGCAAAAATGTTCTCCAAGTCGCAAGGCGAGCCCTGCCGCGAGAAGATTCTCTCTCTCCCGCGGTCTTCTCTCCCGCGAACTTCCTCTGATGGAGAGTCGTCCCTGCGGATGATGGCAATCCTCGGCGCAACCCATGGCAGAGAAAACTCATGTACAGCTCTCGCTTGTTCAAGCTCCTCCCCTGCTGGATTCAAGCCGTCACAAAGTCTGCTCCGCGGGAGACAAGGGTCTCAGGTAACCTCATCCTCGAGACTGATGTGCCTGTGGTATCAGGAGACTCTGGAGATGAAGCCTCTGGCAATGGCGGCAATGTCACGGTGGCCTGCGGGAGTTGCAACTCAAATGGCTGGACTCTTGAAGGTTCGGGAGTTGTTCGAGAAACATGCTGCAAGCAGCAAGTTCACATAGGAAGTTGTTTAGACACCGTCCGACAAGGTCTAAGTGAGACTGTTCATCATGGCACGAAAGACGTCCCGTGGACAATTGCATGCCCTCGACCTGACCCTGTCGTCTGCATGTACATGTCCTTTCATCTCACGATGGTCGTGAACCAACTGAGGATGAGGAATATAGATATGCACAACGAGGTATGAAGAGTGTAGCAAGTTATGATACATTGTGCCACAGCTGCTCACAGCCTGCCTTATTGACAGGCCATGTCACTAGATCCGAAGACTCTATCTCAAGTTCAGACTCTTGTTTCATGGTCCGCGTCGTCTCTTATGTATTAACCAGGGTCATCAAGCTCGGCCGCAGTCGCACAGTACTCCCGAAACCCCGTCCGCCGTAAATTATCCGGAAGCTCAACTCCACAACCATCGAAGAAGCAGCTCTCCAATCGTCACCTGCTTCTCCGACTGGATGGATGGCCCCGATTTGGGCGATATTGGAGCCATCGGGGCCGCCTGAATCGTCTGAGCAGCATTGACTTCCTGCGCGCAGTCAGGTGCAAGCCATGAGTTGGGGACTTGAGGGCCGAAGGCACCCAATTTGAGTGTTTGTATGTATATATATGTATATACATACATACATACATATATATATATATACATACATACATACGTGTATGTATACACAGGTATACATGTACATGTTATGCATATACATGTACATGTGCATATACATCTTTGCGTATGTACATATATATACATATATATATATATATATGAGCATATACATATGCGTGTATATGTATATATATATATATATGTGCACGTGTGTATGCATGTATGTACGTACTTATGACCGTCTGTCTGTCTACTGCATGTTCAGAACATGCTCAGCTCGAGTGCAGCAGATGAGCAAACTGTTGCTCACTTCAAGTCCGGATAAGCACGGATGTCAAGGCATCTCAGCTGTTTCGAAGGGGGTCTTCCAGATTGTCGAGCCTTTGCAGTCCAAGATCTCAGTTTAAACAAGCATGTGCATTTTGGCAGTTGGTGGCTGCATCGGGGTAGTGAAAGTTTCGCCCCTGGAAAGCCTTTGGACCTAGGAGTCAAAGTAGATCGTAGCTTGCAGATAGCGGCTTGATCTGCTGCAAAACGCCACGTGTATGAAACGAGATGTCACAAGCCTCGTATTCATGATTGAACTTAGCCCTGTTGATGTTGCTGTCAGGGGCGTACATATTACACACTATACCTGTGCAACTGCAGGATCGTCTTTAGTGCAGACACTGCCCCTTTTGACTGAACCCCAAACAACCCCCAAACACAAGTAGTCCTAAGTAGGCCTAGCACCCCCAAGCAATCCGTTTTTTGAACCCAGACTCTGCTAATCAGCTGGGAAGCAGAAAATACCCTTTTGCAGCAGGCTTCTCTCGCTCAAAGCACCTGAACGGACCTAAACCCCCTAAAGCCTCTACCCGAAACACGCCAAAGCCAATTTGCTCCTTGACATGCTCCGCAGCGAGGAGTCGAAGCAGCCTACTGAACTCCGCAGAGCAGGCTGGCATCTTCACCTGCTTTAAGGGGTTCCCTGTAATAAGGGCTCCCCGCAGATCGAACTTCGGACATGCTCGGACTCTTCAAAGATTCCAGTCCCTGTCAGGGCCACCCTATAATATCTGTGATCTGGGTTCTTGATGAAGGGCTGCTAGAAAATAGGTTCGTGTAGGAGTTCTTGGAATGAACAAGGCTCTCGTTCCTTCAGGGATTGCTCTAGCGGATCCTGCTGGTCTGACATTGCTTTCTTGGGGCACCCAGGCAGTCTGATCTTGTAACAATGCCAGTAGGCATAAGCAAAAGAGTGTGCGTAGTGAGAAAAGGCATAGTTGCCTTTTGAAGGCTCCTGCGGAGACAAAAACTACGAACTTTAAGTTGGGGCAGCGAGGTGGCATTGTCAACGGCTCCGCATGACAGCTTCGCTTGTCCGACATTTCCAATCCGAAACTCAGCATTCATATCTTAAGCCGTGCAACCCTATCCTGCTGAAATCTGCTGCAGTCATTAATCATTCTTGCAGCTTGGCCAGGACATCCACATCCACTCGCCCCGATAATGTCGGGCCCCGCCCCTGTACGAATGTACAGTACGGTGGACCTCGCGGCTCCTGGGTGGAGCCGGCATGGCGTGGCCGGAAACCCGGAACTCCCCTCCTTAGAGGGGGAGAACCGGGCGCAACGTCTTCAAAGGCTGTCTTCTCTTTGTCTGATGGCGTTAGAGGTCTGCACTTGGCGCGAGGGTTTTGTTCGCTCCAGACGCGGGTTGCTACCAAGGCTCTAGGCTGCTGTGAGGTTTCCTTCAGTATAGGCTTCAGTATCTGTGTCTGCTTGCTACCTCCCGGCTTCGTGTCTTTTGATGCAGGCTGTGGAGTTCACCAGGTTCAGTCCTCTATCGGGAGATAGTCAGGTCCGGGGTCACCTCATGTCTACTGCATGTGCTGGAGCCGGTAATGCGGCAGCCAAGAGCTCTCGTTCACAACATGCCTGCGGCGGATCACGTGAACCGACGTTCTAGGAAAATGACAGCTGCTTGACTGCTTCATGGCCTATGCTTGCCCCATCACGAGTCGAGAAACCACCGCAAGCTCTTAGACGCCGGACGATCCAAGAGAACTTGCCCGGGGCCTAATTGCATGCCTGGCCCACATACACGAAAAAGTACGGTCTTCGTTCGGGTTTGAGCCGTGCACCCCCAAGCCCTCAGAAGGCCCTCTAACCGTTCCCTAACCGCAGCCGGCGAGCTCATCCGTGCGGTCGTCGCCACAAATCAAGACCTGCACCCCACCCATGTCAGAAGCGGGCGCCTGATCTTTTCTGAAAAGCTTTGGGCGAATCCCAGGTCGGAACTTGGGAAGTCGCAAGAACTTGTAAGGGATTGGAGAGTAAGGATAGCCTCATGCAGGATGTGAGCACGCGGTCACACGGGTCGGTGCATATCCGATGCAGGAATGCATCTTAACGTGCCCCTACACTTACAATCACACCCACACTCCAGGCCTCTTCAAAGCGGTTGCGCATGCTTTCGTGCCTCTGAGCATGGACAGTAGCTGCACTCGGGCATTGCAACATCACGCAGCCTTGCGGTTCCCTTGTCAAGCACAGCCCTGAGATGCAAACTCCGAGAAGCAGGTCACACCCAAAACCCGTTGGGCACTTGAAGCTGAAAGCAACCACCTAATCAAATCCACGCCCAGCCAAGCCGCTGCTGCACGGCATTGCCGACCACGACACCTTTCCGAACTGAGAGCGACGCCACCTCTACGATCCTTGCTTGGGTCAGAAAGCAAGGGGTCAGCAGCTCCCGCGAAGGAAATGCACTTTTCTGTTGTTCGGCGTTGTTCGGCGCGGTTTGGTATCCGTGTACGGGGCAACGTCTGATGAAAGTCATCGATGGAACGATTGAGCACCTGGTAGGGCTCTGGCAACTCATTCCTTGTACGATCTTGTAAGCCTATGTTCTCACAAGCTTTGGGTGGACAACCTTCATCTGCAGAGTCTCGCACGTTTACAGTCTCTGGCTGTCCGGAAAGCGGGCATTCCATTCTCAGGTCTAGTATGGCCAACGGCAAACAAAGCAAGACTGCATGGAATATATGACTCAACCACTTCCCCAAATCCTATAAACCCCCAATTCAAGCCAAGAATCTTGTTGCCCTGGCTGATGGCACACGGCAGATTCCCCAGCATCAGAGCTAACCTCGGCTAAACATACATACGTACGTTTTGTCTTTAGCTTCCCAGAGGTTTCTGTGTCTCTGTGTGAGTGGTTTTGGTGGTTTGTAGTTGTGTTTGGTTGGGTTACAAGTAGCTTGGGCACTCTGCGCATCCCTCTGACAGTCTGTGATTCAAGACCCCTCCGCCTGCAGGAGACTCGGCAGTGCCACCCCAGAAGGATCTATGTCAACCCACTTCCTTGCTGAAAGGATATGGGCTTTCCCAGCCTTCCGCGTTGCTCCTGCTTTTGCTCGGAAGTAATTGAACGCCGCTCGTCATCGAAGGCCGTCGAGCTGCTGGTGCATTAACTCCTTGGCTTTGAACTGGCCGTAATCCTGCGCGGGTGCGATTCTGCTTCTTGCATGGCTACACCCCCAGATGTCCCAGAGTCTGCTCCTCGTCACAATCTCGATAATGCCAAACTATGGCGGAGGCCTTGTGCTCGATGTATGCACCTTGCAACTCGGTGGGGCATCTCGATGCGATTAAGGATTTGAAGGACAAACACCGACCTGGGCACCGAGTTATTCCGAGTTCAGCGACTGCAGGCTCAGGCGCCTGGAGTGCAGCGCGTGAACATCTCGAGGACCGGACGGATCTTGTCCTGAGCAAACCCGTTCATGCAGGTATCCAACATGTGCTCCATGCGCCTCTCTCCAGCATAACTGCTCCGTCTCGGAGCCAAAACTAGTGGCGTGGCACAACTGAGAATCGAAGGCCAACAGCCCAGGAAGCCCAATGCCCGACGATATGAATATGCACAGGCATCGAACAGTTTAGAGCAAGGGGCCATCCAGTCCAACGTGCTGTACGGCGTGAACTCCACCCATTTCCCATCGGTATCTGGCCCACGCTTGAAGTAGCCTTATTCAGCGACAACGCTTGCTCGACGTGTCGGAAAGACTTGGAGCAATCCATGTCGGACCAAGCTAGTCCGGCAGGTCCGGATCCTTAACCCGAACCGGACGGCAGGGGAAGAGGTCATGTAGAACTATGACATTACTGTGAAAGAATGCGCCACGAAGCCATGTTCGGCTATCAGCGTCAAGGTAGCCAGCTCTCCAAAGTGCCTGAGCTTGGCGCACCAGAATGAATCGCCATCGCACTCTTTAGTAGAGAAGTTGAAGCAGTGTGGAGTCTCTGGAGATACCGAGTCAATGCAAGGCCCGTTATTATTATTATTACTATTATTATTATTATTGTTATTATTATTATTGTTATTATTATTATGGAGAGAACTGGACGTTCCAATTTCATCTTCTCCGCAGGTTCCGATTGATGCCCTCCGACCGCCCGGATGATAGCAACGATGTTTCCCGTGGCGGTGGTGCTAGGAAGCGGCGCCGCTGCACACAACACCAACCAAGGTGCTTCTCGAGGAAATCTCGGTTTCGGCCACTGACCTCATTGTGAAGACTTTCCCAGCAAACGAGAGAGAGAGAGAGAGAGAGAGAGAGAGGAGAGAAGGACCGAGAGAGACAGAGACAGAGAGGCAGGCAGGCGACATAGAGCGGGATTTCTTGCCATGCCACATTCCCAACATGATCCATGAAAGGCCTGAGCGACCTTTAAGCCCACCTGCCTGTCTATGCAACTTTATTTGAATTTCGACTCGTGCGCTCGTGCAAGGCGGGCTCCAGCAAAAGCTAATGTTTGGGGGTTTAGGGGCGCAGCACAGAATTTCTGGGCTCATGGCGATGTACAGCTTCAGGTCATCCCGCCTCCGCGCATTCGAGAACAATGCTTGCCACCGCACCGGTTTCGGACAGCCGTATCGAGCGCTGGCCATCACATACATGCGCATCTACAGGCAATAATTACATACTTATATATAATATGTGTAACAGACACATCTACACATGCACACAGCCAGCGACTCTTGCATCCTGCAGCTGGCGGCACTCAACAAGCTGGAGAGGGCCTGGCCAATCTGGCTAACATCTCCTGAGTCTCTTCGGTGGGCACCGCATCCTCCGGTTTCGCCTGCGAAGAGCGTGGGAAAACGGAAGAAGCCGTGTGCTAGTAGAGTATGGAGAATGAGTTGCCCGCAAGGGTGGCACTAGCTTAGGTCTCCGGCCGCAAGGGTCTGTAGGATTCTAGGATTCAAGTCAGCATTCCATCTTATTCGCCAGATCACACTAGTAGGCTGCGTGGAAGTCTGGGCACGACCTGCACGGTAGGTTGCATCTGCCTGTGGATATTTGGCAAGGGTCGGTCGAACATCGGTAACCTTCGAATGGAGTGCTTTAAAAGATGTCTCGGGCTAACCTTCGCTTGAATTTGGAGCGCTTCCGTGCGCGACGAAGGCCGAGACTGGTGCAGGCACCTCGAACTCTCGCAGGGTGCCATCGTAATCCAGAAACAAGGCCTTGAGCCCCGGTCGAGATGCCTGAGAGCAGCGAGACCGCAGGCATCTACAGTTTCAGCTTGGGAATCGGCCCATGGGCGACTAGAACCCGCGACGCGTGGGTGGCGGTAATGTAACGACTGGACCGGTGCTGCATTGCACTGAGCACATGACACAGAGATACATGGACTAGCCGACTAGGGCCACAATATTTTCCCAGCTAAGGAGTCATGGACACACTCTCTCTGATGCTGTGAAGGCTCGAAGCTCCGAATCGTGTCAGTGCAGCCAGGCAGCAAAGAACTTCTGGGCAGAGTGATCCTGCAACGGCAAGCCGAGCAAGCAGCACACAAGCCATCCGTGCATGTGTAAGGGTTTCGTTGACCGCGGAGCAGTGCAGACATAGTATGTTGCCAAGGCGAAGACTGACGTCAGATGGTGGACTGCTGCACTTACAAGTTGCTGGCTTTACGGCTTTCTGTAAGTGGTCTGTGTCAGCCTCTACACTTTCAGAAGCCGGGGCAGAATCGAGTCTCAACTTGTTCGAGGCATGAGGATCGGGCAAGATTCCGCCCAGCCGTTCCATGCACAGAGGCTCTGGGGCCCACTGGTGGTTGCACCAACAGCAATGCAAACGGCTCTGTGCGGAAAGCGTGCTCTCATGATCCAACTGAAACTGGAAAGTAAGCCCCCCTCGCAGTCATCGAGCGGGTCCTGCAAGTACTGCATGGCCAGTCTCTCCTTTGCAGGCGCTGGGAGCAGAAAGCAGCCGACAGAATGGTAGACTGGCGCGGCAAAGCTCCTGCCTGTTGAAACTGAGACGACATGCACCGGGCTGACGGTGCCGGCACAGGCAAAAGATGGCAAAAGAAGCAAAAGGGGGCATAAGTTACATCCTCGCGAGCCCAAGCCAAGGTCGACAGGAACCTGTCTGTCAAGAGCCGGGAAACCTTGGAAGCCATCAAGTCCTGAGATCCAACTTTGCACTAAGAGACGGGTCGTGCGATGCGCGAGCCCTGCAAAGGATTCTCCAGCTCCGCCAGCATGCTGCGGCCCCAAGCTGCCTGGGTCGCAGCTGCTTAAGAGCCATCAGTTGGTGGTCATGTCAGCGGAGGGACTCTTGGAGGAACATGCCGAAGGTCATCTGGGGCCTAGAAGATGTGTCGAACTCACACAGAGTCAGCTGCACTTGCTCGTTGCCTCAACACGGCTCCAAGGCCCGAGAGCCCGAGATCCCAAGGTCGGCGCAGAGTCGTTTTCGATGATGGTTTGCCGCATGCGTTCGGTGACTTCCCAGCGTTGGTCCTGCAGGCTTCCAACAGGATATGTTCCTGACCGAACAATCCCTTAAGGCTTGCGGAGGGCTGCATGCACGTGCCCCACATATGGAAATGAACACCAATGTACAGATCTTTTGGCATCTCAGCGACAAATTATCCGAGGAACACAGGTAGGTCCATGCTACAACCTCAACCGCAACTTTTGTCCACGGATGACCACGGAGTCCCGGAAGCTGTGACGCTTGGAAGTACGCAGTCGCATCATCGGTCCAAACAAACAGGAACGGCCAGTTCGCAATGTTGCCATGCCCTTTGTCAAAAGCTCAATGTCCCCAACTCGCCGAGTCCTCGCTCAAGCGGTTTCCGCGGGTGAGCTCCAGACCAATCTGAGGAGGGATTAATTAAGGTCGTTGGAGATCTCCCTGGCGTTCCTAATGTGCGAAGGAGGAGTGCGCTAGCTATGGGGAAACCCGCTTGAGGTGCGAGGGTGCAGGTCCGGGTGTGCCAAGCGCCGGCGAAGCGCTGCGATGGCATCTGCAACAGCATCGTCATCGTACGGGTTCACGACCATGGCATCGAAGAGCTCCTGGTGCAGAGTAGCGGCGTAGCGTGGCGAAACAACACAAAACCTTGCCAAGTAATTGGAGCGCTTGAGCTCCCGTTCTTGAGCACAATGCATTGCACACAACTGACACGTTTCAGCATTCTGGTTTAAGCTTGTCGGCGAAGCTCGGAAAACTGCTACAAGGATGTTGAATCGTGGCGATGAGCTGCCTAGATTTTGCATCTGTCCTTGCTATACCCTGTCATCAAACACCTGGCCCGAGTACAACCCGAGCTAAAGCCCAGCCATAGCCTGCGCCGCCCCTGCCAACTCGGAAAGGACGACCGTGCCTTCAGGCTTGTTTGCTGCTGTGGCCCAAGTTTCGTGATACGACATACTGGCGGTAAAGTGCTGTCCAAGTCATGCTCCTGGGTCTGCAAGCCAAGCGACCAGTCCGGATTCTGCTGCAATGCAACGCTACAGTATGCAACACATCATGGGGCACAAAAGTCGTCCCTTCGGCCGCAAAGGCAGCGCTACACGCTGAAGATCTTACGGTACATGTAGTCACCGACCGGAACAAACAAGTCGCGCTGGTGCGTAATGAAGAAGGCAATGGCCTGGCACCACTTTGTCTATGCTGCGGTCTTTGGCTGCAATGAACTCCTTGGCCTTGGATATGCAGCATTCGGGATCATGGCCTTGCGGCTGCCGATGCCAGTCCTCCTCCATCTACCACCTGTTAACCCCCCCCCCCCCACAACAACGGCACCTAGTTCACATTGGGTTGCATGAGTTGGTGGCGAGAGTGACGAGAATAGGATAAATGCACAGTCATTCGGAATACGGAGGCAGGAAGAGCAGGAGCAGGAGGAGGCGGAGGCGGAGGCGGAGGAGGAGGAGGAGGAGTCCAATGATGTGCGCTCGCCCACTTGGGATGGACGAGTGCACATGACTACCAGGCCATAAAGCGACTACTTGGAACAAGTCCTTCTCGGATGACCGGTCAGTGGCCTTTGATGAATCAGAATCTCAACGCCCTGACCCGTCCCTTGATCAAGGGAAACCGACATCTCCGTCGTTTTGTGGTGCGGCCAATTCATGTGCACCTCGTCAGCTAGTGGCTAGTGCTGATACTACCATTCCCTTAACCTGGCCAGCCAGTGCAGCCCAAGATCTACCAGGTTCATTCCGTCGATGAGCGGCGTCACGAGACCTCAGTCGAATGCTCGGCCCCAAAGATGAACTGGCCAAGTGGGGACTCGATCGTGGAATTGGGTCTTCTCGAGTATTCTAGCCTCCAGTGCAAACCAAATCTACTGGAGTCATTGCAAGTTGATCCTTGCAGCCACAGCTACTACTAAGATGCCGCCTTCAGCGACAATACATGAGCATCCTGAATGGAAGGAATGCTGTGTTTCGCTCTCGCTTTGTTGAGAAACTGTGGAATGAATGTTGAGCCCTAGGCTTTGCTAGGCCACAGCACAAGCCACCAGGTGCTTCAACAGAACAAAGCTTTTGACTGAGAGATTTGCCGTGCATCTGATCGTCTAAACATCGTCAACCAATACTGCCATACCGTTCGAGCATGGGGCAGCAGTCAGCTCGCGCGTAGAGGGCGGCCAGTTCTGGCATGGGGACACCGCGGTGGATGTAGACGATCGGCTGATGCCTTTGCTTCGTAGTTCGGAATTTCGGAATTTCGATTTCTGGGCCTTGGGTGGCCCGAGGCAGGCTTTGACGTGGCCTCCTGGAGTCGGGACACCTTAGGTTCAGGGTTACAGATCTTCACATCCAGCCCGGCCGAGCCCAGATGTGAGATGTGACCTTGCGGAGCTTCTAAAATGCCCCAATGTTGGGCTGCTGGGGGTGGGTTTGGACTCTGGGCATATAACGGACCATGGCTCGAAGCTGACACCCGGAGGGGTCCATTGCCAAGGTCGCGAAGTTTAGTATGCAGCAGTCGAGTTGCGAGAGGGTGGAAAAGTTGCCGTTGATGGTGCTGATGCTTCGGTGCACCTGTCTCCCAAGCCACTTCCCTTTTTTTGCTTATCGTGATCTGTGGTCGCTTCAGGAAGGGCGCCTCTTCCTCGATCTTCTGGTACTCCTCCACGTCTCGCCTCTGAGGCCAGAGAAATCAGAGAATGCAGGCTAATTATCCACGAGATCATAAAGTGGGCAGCTCGCATTAAGGCTATCCCACTAACCCTCTGCGCAGCCTGGTTTACTGGCATATCACTGCTGATACTGTCCTGCTGGGAATGGCTATGAAGACGAAGACAGTCTTGTTGTGGTCCAACTCTGTCCTCAAAGTGTTAAACTTGCATGCGATTTCTGCACGAAAGCACAGCGAAGCTTTACTACGAGTAGCAGGGGAACTCAGCATCACTGCATACGGTTTTGCAACGTCTTGTTGGAACCCGTTTCAGATGAAGCTGAAGCTTCCACTGCTCCCACTGCTCCGACTTCAAATCCCTCGTGCTCTGCTCCCAATCCGAAGCCCAAACCAAGCTTGAGCTCTCCATTGCCGGCCGCTCGAAGTCTCCCATCAGCATTTTCATGACATTCGCACCTTCGAGGCGACGGGACTTTTCAGGGTCCTGGCGTTCCGAGGGTGCCGGGGCCACCCAAGAAGCCGCCACAAAGCAGCAGTCTTGCGGCCCGCCTATGCGCCGCAAGTTGGATGTTGCCAGCCCGCGGTTCGCCTGGCGGAAGAGCGCCGCCGCGAAGCAGTGAACTGCAAGATGGAATCGTGAATTGCGTCTGCTTTGGGGGATCGCGTACGATTGGATGGAATGTTTGTTTCTGATCTGCAAATCCGGCTTTTTTGACCACCTTGCCCAGAAACGAAGCGGAAGCGGGGCAAAGGCGAAGCTCAAGCTGCTGCACTTCAAACAGGCAAAATGCAACGAGATGCAACCACAGCTTCGATTTGTCCTGGAAGCTTCGGCCACGAATCAGGCTGCAAGAAACCTCAGAACCTGGAGCGAGAACCTGGAGCGAGCGAACCTTAAACGACAGTGCACGCAGCCACATCTCGTTGCAGGCACTTTTGGCCGCGGTGCCCGCGTATTTTACGTCGGGCTCCGAGGTGAAAGTACTGCAAGGATCGTGGTCCACACATGATCTTGGGAGGCACACTACAGCCCCACTTCATCGGAAGGCTTTTGGGAGGGCCAGCTCCTTAAAAGGACTATTTCCGGCTTCCCGAGTCCTCAAGCTGGAACTGTGAGACACCACATGATTTGTGGACATTGTGACATTGAGGAAAAGTGATATGAATAGTTATATAGTTATATATGACGAAATAACAGGTCAAATGAATAGATATGAATGAATGAACATCTGCCTGTCTGTCCATCGACCAGTAGTTCAGTAGTTCATGTACATCGACAAACGCCAAAGGGAGTCTGTGGGCATCAGTAGCCGCAGTAGCCCGAGTCTTCCACGGGGCCTGGCTCAGGCTGATTCAAAGAGTATGTGTCGAAGCATACTCCTGTCAGCTAGCAGGTAGTTGGGAATTCTCGCCCATGCAAACATGGGGCTCAAAACCTACACACACCCACCCAGACATGGCCTCCGCCATCACCATCACCAGCGGCTACAGCACCAATGACTCCCGGCACCATGTCGTCCGTTGGCTCCGTGCGGAAACTGGTGTCCACTGCCGCTTGGTCAACACCGACGATGCGGTTGATAAGAATGCGCACATACTGCCAAAGAGCCTTGCACACTCAAGAACTTTGCTGTGTTTCTTGGGCTTAGACCACCTTGTCATTTCAATGTAGACGAGGCACATGGGCAAAGATGTACGGTAACAATAGAGGATAATTAATTCCTCCCACTACCAGCCCGAACGCAGCTGCCAAAATCGAAGGCATGGCAATCATCCGGCGGAATTGATATCCTGCCGGCACCCAGATTAGCAATTCAACCGTCTGCTGTTGGCTATCATGGCCTGTAACCTGTAACAGTACCCTCAGCACTTGCATGCGTCCTTTCTCCGCACAACAGCCATATATCATGCCGGCCAGCAGGATCGGAAAGGTGACTCCGAAGAGAATGCCACCAATCAGGGTGAACGTCTCGGCATGCGAGCTGATTGGAGAGTATCCTGTTGGGCACCAATCCTTTGAAACAGAATGCATGCTCTCTTGCGTGCATCGCAGAGCAAGAAGAAAAACACAACATCCCGGAGCCCTAAACAGAACCCAACTACGACCCTACCTTAAATGCCGAACAGGCACGTCATGCTCTGCCACCACGTCCACGTACCCACCACTGCAACCGCCATAGCCGAAGCAGCTTCTTTCGTAGTAGCCGCTGAAGTCACGAGGGTCGGTGGATGCATGGATCGGATATCCGTCGGTCTTCCACTCAAAGCTGAAGCTGGTTCCTGTAAACCTCCAATCATTTCAGATGTCTTGAACAGCACTCCCATGATCTGCTGCAAGCACCAACGAGGGCTTGTTTCATGCAGCCACGATTCAACAGCGCCGTTCCGGAGAACCACAGGGAAAACACAAAGAGCCTGATCATCAGCCCAAGAAGGAACTGCCACAGGCCCCTTAAACTGGAAAGTGCACTACCACAAATCGTCGCCTGTGTGTCACAATCGTTGGTGTCTGTGGACATGCGCCCCCTCCAGCGCCAAAGGCGACTGAAAGCCAGAAGCTAAAACCTTGAGTTGAAACACGCTTCATAATGCGATGTTTCTAGAAATCCGCGAAATTCGAGAACAGCGCGAAGAAAACTTGCAGCAAAGAGCCCATGGCTCAGACGAGAGGCTGCTTGCAAAGACCGGAACTGCTGATGCCGACAAAATGCACAAGGCGCCCCAGCTCACCGCAGCCAAGTGGTTCAAGCCTTCGATTTTCTCCATCGTCCAAGAAGGACACAGCACCAGCAGGTGATCTGCGGGAGAGCTTGTGTCCGCAATGATCTCCCAGATGGTGATCATGTTGGAGGCTTTTCTTGTGACAAGAAGTATCTTAGACCCAAGCATCAGCAGTCCCAAAGGCCATGACCCTCCCCTTCCCTGGCCTAAAAAAAAGCAATATCCTCCGAGCTGCTAGGAGGACAAACAGGGTCATGTCCACGATGGCATAAACGAGACCCAAGGCCTTGGGAACTTCTCCCGGGTTTTGAACAACCCTCCCCAGCCTACCTTCATCCAAGAAGTGCTTCAAGCTACGCAGATGCTTGCGATGACAGGATGTCCCGATAGGAGTCAAAATGCGAGACCCCTGATCTTTGTACGCTTCAGAGTTTGAGGCGTAGATAATCGATTTGGCATGGTGTCAAGAGGCCTGAATGCATAAACAGATCTCGAGTGAACTCCAGAAAGTTGGAACATGGATTCTGTATACTCCACATGGAAAAGCAAGAGGATACCTGTTTTCGATTTTGCGGCTTTGCGGTATTCTACCGTGTGGCCTGTAGGGCATGCAGCATGTCTCGCTTAGCTGCTGCACATGTCTTGGCTTCTTCGACAATAGCCTGTCGCTGTGAACAGTTCCCTTAAGTGGTAAGCTGGCCAACCGTAGAGCCTTCAGCCAGAGCCACGGACTCGCTCCTCTGACCTCTAAACATCTAGTCGAAGGGCCGTATGGTTCGCTTTGCCATGCCTTTCCACCCCGGACAATGCCAACTTGCCAACTAAGTCTTACAGCCCAGGCACCAGACCCCAGAGCCAGCGACTGGAAGCCATGGCTCGAACACGACCACGGCCACTTGCTGGGGCTACACATGTTGAACGAATTCATTGTTTGGTGTGCACTCTGTCTTTAAAGGATCTGAAGACCTCAGGCTCGACATCGCAAGGTAGCCACTGTGGGATGTGGCTTCGAGCATGTTCGAGCCAAGCCATGTCAGTGCCGACGATGTGGAGTTTGTCAGTATACGTAGCGGCAGCACCTCCTGCCCAAGAAGCTGCTGCAGCATGCGTTCCCTTCAGGAGCACACGAGATGTCGTACGGATGACGGGATGCTGCCACATGCTCTGTCGAACCACCACTGCCAGCGTCCGGAAAGCAACTTCAAATGCTGCGCATGGGTTCATACTGCAATATCTTGCCCTCTCGCTTCCAAACTTGCGGGCTTTGGGAAGCGTCAAGGAGATCATCGCGGGCTTGCAGCTCGATTGCAAGGTCCAGCGCGGTCTTGTTGCGAAAGCTAACTCGGAAAGTTGCGACACATCATTCACCCCCCCCCCCCACCGCCCACCACCCCTCTCGCACAAAAAAACATGGAGCAATAGTGGTGGTACCCTACAGCGGAGAGAATGCTGCAGGAATTGAAGTTGGAGCTGCCAGGTGCTGTGCCCGTATCCCCGGACTCAAACTGCTGTTTACGTGAAGGGCGCCCGCCCCCTCCCCACAAGGAGACAACGAGATCTGGTCTTGCTGAAACCCTCCGAAGAGAAACCTGACCCCACGTCCAAAGCACAGCCACAAGCTGCAACACCCACCTTGTGCTTGTCGAGCCGATCGATGCGTTTCTGCAGCTCCTCCGTCAATGAGAATATATAAGAGCTCGTAAAACTGCTATTGTTAAATGACTGTTTGGTCTCTCGCCGTTTCTCCGCTTCGCATCTGCTAACGCGTTGGCTTTGGCCAGCTACAGGGTGGCTGGTCCTGGAGTTTCGTTTGTCTTGGCATGCCAGCTTACCTGCCAGCCCATCCTTTACAGGGAGGAGCCGCAGTCGGCCTTAGTAATTTGACTTGGCTAGGGTTTGGAGCATACCTCTAGTCTCCATTGTAGCTCCCTTTTTGGTTCAACCAATTTTGTAGTTAGGATCTTATCAGGTAACCCCAAAAAGGAACTACAATGGAGTCCACAGGCGCTCTATGATGATTATACGGGTGGTTGTCAAAATTATGGTCCCTTTGTGGGTCCTTATTATAATACGGCACCTATTATTTAGGGTACCCCAAAAGGGACCATAATTTTGACAACCACCCAGTATGGAGGCTACCAGACAGTTTCATACCGATGGAAGAGGCTTTCGGTCTGCGCTCCTCGATGCGGTCTGTCCGCTGTGCATCCTCATCTTCTGCACTCCTGGGCTTATCCCATATAGCATGATATAAAGAGAATTTGCTGACATACAATACATATATATATAATATATATATATATATATATATATTCTATATACATATATATTCTATATACATATATATTCTATATATATATATAGAATATACAGAGAGATTTAAATCATGGGTATGGTAGAATAGATAATCTCACCCCTGACCCCGCAGCTTCTGGGCTCCTCAGCCGGCTCTGAGGATTCTTCGATCTGGTTTGGGGTTTTGGGAGGGAGGTTTGGTTTAGGGTTTAGGGTTTAGGGTTTAGGGTTTAGGGTTTAGGGGCTTTCCCCGGAATCCGAGACTCTTCTTCGCCTCCTCCAGGTATCTCTGGATGGCTGCCAGCTTTTGCCTGGGAGGCTTCAGGGCAAAAGGAGGAGGAGAGCTTCGAGTAGCTTGCAAAGGTCGAGCTCTGCAGCTCTGGAAAGCAGTTGAGACAGCTACTGCAAGTTCGGCAAGCTCCACAATTACACCCAGCATCCGCAGTAACCTCACAGGCATCCGAAGGCTCCAATAATGGTTCGGCCCAGTCCCGGTAAGACTACCCTACCCCACACTGCCATGTCACGGAAGGCCCTTGGAGTAGTCCAAGCGCTCCACGTTGAGAACCAAGCTCTTGCCTTGCTTTGGCTGTGCGGCAGGATGCTCCAACTGTCTACCGGGCTGTCCAGCATCGTGAGCAGCGCAGCAAGCATGCACTACACCCTGGAAGTAAGGGCTTAGGTCGAAGTGCACTCCCTGCTATTGAACGGAGAAAAGAGGAAACACCCAAACCGCAACAGCCTCAGTACCGGACTATGCAGAACTGGTATTACTTGCCGGCTTCTTTTACAATGTAAAGGGTCCAACAAGCATGGCAAGGCCCAGGAAAACAAGACATGCCAACGTCTGTGCTTGGAAGGAGTACACGGGGGCGAGTCGTCAGGGCACCTTGAAATTGCTCGGTGTACTCCTTCAAGTGCTGCGCGAAAGTCTCCTGAGCAAAAGGCCGGATACGAAAACGATTTCGCATTGCCGGGTGCATAGCGCAACATGCTCTGCGCAGGCTTCTTGATGGAGTCTGTCAGGGTCGAGACTGTGCTACCTGTAAGAAGCCTGACTGATGCTGATCTCGGCCAGGCATCCGTCTTCATAGCATCCATGATATCATTGACCTTGGGTCGTACAGGTACTTGGTACTCGCATTGTTGCAACAAGGTGTGGCAGAGGTGAGACCTGTGGGCGGCTAGATGAGTTCCCAACGGAGGCATTCACATACTTTGCGCTGTTCTGGGTCAGGCTTGCGCCAAGCCAGTCAGGCAGGCTCTTGTGAGCACGGCATCTCTCAAATGACGTGCACAAAGACTAGATGGAAGAAACTGACAGGCTGCAATGCCACAAACTGCGCTGACGAGGCATGTCTTCACACCGAGGTGCATTCGCCCCAATAGGAAAAACGCCCAAGTGTGTTCTTTGACCCCGATGGTCTACATGGTCGATGTCCTGCAGACAGTGTCTTGGCTGCTGAAGACCGTTGACCGTCAACGAGCTGCTGGATTGACGGCTGAAGCTGCAGCAACGAATTAGTTCGGCCGTCACATATGCCTGTTTCCTTCTTCACAACTCCGGCCCTTCATCCTCTCGTCTCTACACATGTCAAAAGAGTGCCAGAAGTTTTCGGGGGCCCCGATCCGAACTTGAGCTTCTAGCACTTGCTTCGTGCAACCCGGCAGGTCCGGCGTGAAGCCGCAAAGACGGATGACGCACGACCGGAAATGACGCCTTGTGGTGAGCGGCAGGGGACTTGGGCATGGGTTCCAGGTAGCTTAGCATGAGGGCGCTTTAAGAAGCTATTATTGGTGCTGCGATCTGGGATGCGCAATAGCGGAATATGGCGGAACACTTCGGCCTTTAAGCGGGCAACTCTCTGCAGCTCTCAGCCTGCTCAACATGGCTCTTCAGCCATCTTGAATGGTCCACAAGGCGGTCTCACTGATGCGAGGCAGGGAACAGGTAGTTGTAGGTATGGAAGCCAACCAAGTCAGCACCCAGCACGCCCTCCACCACATCGACACACTGGGGCAGCACGCACAGGACCTGCCACTGACAAGTGCAGAACACAGAGGTACAGCCTCTGAGTGGCGGCTAAGGCACATTCGTCCCTCAACGAATTCCTGCCTCGTACCCTGGGAAGGGCGTGTGAAGGAAGAAAGCCTCTGGTGAAACGAGGCACAGCAAATCCAACAGCTCGTTAAACCTGGCACTCATGGACTGTAGTCTCCTTTTTAGGGCTGCTCCGCAGGTTGCCTTCTGTAGCCGCGGTATCAGAGCTTAAAGACAGAGCCGGGACGCAATTCGCAGCTTGCTTGCCATCTCCTTGGTTGCGTCTTTAGGCTGCCGGGCTTCAAGCTTCAAAGCCAAAGCAAGCGGCGAGCACTGGCATGGGTATCGCTGTCGGTTTGGGGGCAGCTTGTTCGGGAACCGCTCAACGGTCCGGCAAGTGATATGCAAATTTTCAATTGGCTTTTTGGCTTTTCCAAAAGTTTTGAGCACGTAAGCTTCGACAAGGTCCTTGCAACAGGAACACTACCTTTTGTTCCCCGCTTCTGCCGTGAACTTGGTCCCAAAGTGAACAGCTCTCAAATCGATCCAGTTTCCACTTGCGTGATGCTTCGCCGCATCTTCTTCGTCGACGCATTTGGGTAGCCATCCCTCGTGGGAGCGAAGCATGTCACAGAGCTCAGAAGCGGGGCGTGCAGAGGAGCATCAATAGCTACGGCATTTTAGTACAGGTTCCATAGTAAAGAACGCAAAACCTTGCGATAAAACCCCAAGAGCTTTCTATCAGGGCTCTACTTTGACCATGCTGAAAGCCTTTTGCCCTTCTTGGAGTGACTGTAGAGCCGAGACCTAAGAACGCCCCGAAACCGATGCCTCTCCGGCACAGCAAGGCCCGGAAAGGAAAAGCTGAACCTCCTGCCCACTATTAGGTCCATCCGTAACGGGCCCTTCCGATTGCACGGAGCCTTTTATGGACTTTGGGGGGCTGTCTGGAAGCTGCGGTCCTGCCAGGCTTTTCGGCTTCCTCCTCTGCCGGCGGCTCCTCCTCCAGTCAAGAACGGACAGCGCTACCCCATACCCCATATCATACTGCCATGATAGCGAATCCGAAGCCGCTCGAGACATCTCACCGAATCTAACCGCAGCATCTTCGCAGCTTAAGACAGGAAACCTGCCCCAAGTTGAGGGACCGAGGGACCTATCCCCGCCAGCTCATGCGTGGTTGGCTTGGGGTGGGCGTTTCTACTTATACATGCTCAAGATCTGGACTGAGGCTGCTGAAAGCGTCGCAAGTCTACAGATGTCATTTGGGCCCCCCCTTGGCCGGCAAGAACCATGCGCTGAGCATAAACGAGGAAAAACAGTGCGCAACAGTGTGCCGCTTCGCCAGCTCCTCGCCAAGCAAAGTCAAGCGATCCGTGCAGGACTTGAAGGCATGGCGCTCAGCCTGCAGCATGCGACGAAGCCCAAACCCGCTGTGGTCTGCGCAGTGCAGAGAATAAATCAATCTTACCGTATCTTACCCTCCAGCTCATGATCCGGCTCTGCCGGAAACCCTGCAGTCGCAGTCAGCAGTCGACATGTCATGACATATCCCAAGCGCGATGTAGCCAACATCTTCGGGCTGCCTTCGGCGAATTTGAAGACATTGGCTCCTGAAATAGCGGCAGTCCCCTCTCAAACCACAGACAGGCTCAAGATGGAAGCATGTTTCTCTCTGTCTTCCTGAGACACACACATAAATATCGACACATGCAAGCAGATCTCCATCGACAAATGCCTCTGCGTACAATGCAAGGTCCGGAACGCAGACAAGCACAGGGATGTGTGCATGAACACAAGGTGGGTACAGAAATACCGGCGAAGAGGTGATACCTCCACATGCATGATGCTTGCTCCTATGGCCTCAGCGAACCTAGACTTGACTCCCAACCAAGGCTTGGGTGAGATGCGAAACTGCCAGCACCATCCACCCGACCGAGAAAAGCCACAGGCTTGGTACGAGTCGGGTGCAGCAGCACCTCGAAGGTCTCGCTGGTAGAGTGTGCAGCTGCCGGCTGTGCTTCTGACTCGGCATCCTGCGCATGGGCTGGATGACGGAAGATCTTTGAACCTGCAACCGAAGCCAAAGCCTCGAAGCCAAGCCTCCATAAGTCCATAAGCCCTGCACACAGGCCTCTGGGGTGCTGGGGAGGCCCTCTGGCCGCTTTACGTGCCGCACGTCAGCGTCCGCGTGCGGCAGCTCCGGTGGCAAATGGCCTGAAGAAGGCGGGGCGAGGCTCGCGAGGTTTTCTCAAACCTGAGTAGACTGAACCCATTCATGTAGCTTCTGAATCAAACTGACATCTGACTCACGCAGCAAACAACGACCCAACCTGAATCAACTCCAAACCACCACGACACTGATCATTTGCGGCGCCGTCAGATTTTGGCTTAGTGCGCTTTACGAAACTCGAAACTGCAAAACCCGCAGCTTGGACGACCGGCAGTATTCTGTACACTTTTCTCATCTACGAAAGCGCCGCACCTGGTCTCTCGAGCTGAACCAGGCCAGACTTCTCTGCCTCTGCCTGTCCGGCCAGCGCGAAAGGCGCGTCTAGTGCACTGGCATTGATGATGCAGCAACAGTCTGTAGACCAATGGTAGAACTGCAATGCTCGCATGATCTCAGCCGGGGAAGACACATCATCAAATCGGACTGTAAGAGGGGTTTCTTTGCGCATTGCTTCTTCTGGCTACATGCCAATGCACGGCCCTCTCTAATCGTGGAAACCCCACCCCCAAAAACCATTGCGCAGTCCGCAGTCCTGTACCAGCTTGATATCGCGCTTCTTGCGCAGCATCTGCGGGACCAGGAAGAGGTGGTAGTCCTGGGGCCAAAAAGGCTATGTCAGGAAGGTCCACCTCACTTATCGACTGAGCAAGGGTGTGTCATGGTGTGTCTCAAGAGTGATGGCAGGCCGCATGGATCCATACGAGGTCCATCGGCGTGGCTTCCTTGGCCGAGGCGAGACATTCGAGGTTTTGGGAAACGTACAGCACCCAGGTATGGCTATGAAGCAGCTGCTACGGTAGGCTAGCTGTCTACCTGCTGCAGCCTATCGACACGGAAACGCCTCGAACAGTGAAACACTGGCTGTCTCAAAGAATTTTGAACGAAGGCGAGGGCCTCCTGCTCCAGGCCTCAATGTGCCCTCTCCTCGCACTCTCAGCTGGGGGGCCGTGAGAATGACATCTGCAAACTGCTCATTCACCCGGCGGTACGCCTCAGGTCGTTGATTGTTGGGCCTCTTCTCCAGATGAGTTCACCACACGGCTTCTTCAGTGAGTACAAGGCAAGCCTTCGTCGGGCAAATCCCAACCTCAACAGCCCCTGATACCAGACACAACATCCTGGGAGAAAGAAGTCTTGCAATGGAAGGACAAAAATAACAGGCACTGAAAGCCGGCTCCCAGAATCTGCTTGGCAATACTTATTCAATGGCCGAGCTCGGGGTTTCCCGAAGCCTTCTGCCATCCTTCAGCACTCCACATCAACGCCGCGGCCTCGGCCCACACGCGCTTGAAGCGTGCGTTCGTCGTCATCCAGTGCATCAGGGGCCACAAGGACGAGTTCGAGAAGCCTGCTTCAAGCACGGGCTTTAAATCTCAAGCCGGGGATTCCGCAATGCTTGCTCAACGAAGAGAAGACATCTATGGCTTCCCCGGCACTTGAACAAGGTCTCACTTCTTGACGATGCACGTGCTGAAAGGGAGTCGAACCCTTCAACAATCTTCCATGCTCTAACCTCCCGTTGCTTTGTTAAACATCTAAGCTGCTTCTGAGACGCTCATTCTTACAGCGGCAGAAAACATTCCCGTTGAGATTCTCAACCCCCAAACTCGAGGATGGCTTCTGGGGTGCATGGTTCGGGCTTCGAAAGCTTAGGAGATGATATTTAGCTGGACAGACACAGTTATATATAAATCTACATGTTACTTCAATCGTTTACTTATTTGCTCATTTGTTTAATGCGGCTACAGTTATCTTTGTATTTTTGTGTTACGTACACGTCTTTTTGGACTTCGACTCACACACTCGCACAAGGCAGGCATGGCAAGAAGGTCCGAGCTTTTGGATTTGGGGCTGATCTGTGGCCAAACGAGCTTCTGCCTGTGTAGAAATCGTCCACATCACCTCAGGCCGCTGTGCTTGCTTGTTCATGGGGTGCAATCCCAGTAATTTCTTAAGTGAAACGGTGGACTTCGGATGACTTCGGCACCGGCCTTTGGGCTTTGTGGGGCTCTGGCACCACAGCATTGACCCATGGGGGCCGATGAGGATTCCGGTTGGCCCTCTTCAAAAACACATACCTTTGCACCAAGTTGACCACAACGCCTTGAGTTCTCAGTTCTCCTCAACAGCCCGCAGGAACTAGCACAGAACGAGCCATTCGAAATGCCAAGAGGCCCTGCTGGAGCCAAACCTCAGGTGTGGGAAGAGCTGCAGGTTCGGGTCTGCAAAGTCATTACTCTAGAACACCGGTCTGCGGTTAAGTTAGAATCGAGTCTAGAAGGGACATTCTGAAGACAAGCGGCCGGGATCATCCGGCAGTTCCATGAAGCGGAGGCCTTCCGGGGCTATTGGCAGAGGCTTCTTCGGGGCAGCTCCAGGCTCCACTGGTCAACGCTCACAACATGCCTACAGCTTCGAAGACCACGAGGCTCAGGGCTGCGCAGTTGCGATTCACGGCTTCACAATCCATCGCAGCTTTCCCGTAGCCCCTACCCTAAACCCTAAACCCTAAACCCTAAACCCTAAACCCTTCAGCTCCCCCCTGCAGCCAAAGCCGAACGTTCTCCGAACTCCGAGGCCTGGAAGGAGCTTTGCAAAGCGACGCTATGCCAGGCCTAGTTTAGGGTTTAGGGTTTAGGGTTTAGGGTAGAATGATTCGAGCAACCCGAAACATCCCGAAATCCATTGGGAGCCTCCCCTCATAACACAATACCAAAATAACAGTGGCAGCATCTTTTTCTAAACCCTAAACCCTAAACATTCTAACACCCCGGGGCCTCGGCGAGACGCTTCGTGAGCCGCTCCTGGTCCTCCGAGCTCGGCACGCAGCCCGGCCAGCCGATCCAGAGGGCTTCCTGGAACGACGGAGCTGAAACCGAAGCCAGCCAGGAACCAAAAGGTGAGGCTATGGCTGATTATGACCTTCTATCTAAGGCGGGGAGACGCTTCACCCACCTTCTGGGCAATTCTCTCTCAAAGCCCGAGTAATTCCCCAAGTTCTCCATTCATCTCCATGTCCGTGACCCCGTGACCCCCAGCAGCGCAGGCAACTTCAGGCTGAAGCATTCCTCGCAGTGGGCGATGCAGCTACGAAGTGCGGATGCCAGGCCGCCAGCCGACCTTCGCCAGGAGGCCAGCATCAAGAGGGGAGAAGGGTTGCCGAGTTTCCAGGTTCCCATTCATTCCAAGCCTAACTAAAGAGCACCTCATGCAAAAGCGTGCGAAGTCCTATGTCAATGCCAGGCAGCAGTTCGACGTCATTTGGCGGCTGCCGATCTGGATGCAGAGTGACTGGCAGCCGGTTGGACACAACCTTTCATGCGCCAGGGGGCTCTTGCAGGTCTTGAGCTGAGAATGTGAGATCGTCGAAGACTCTGTGAAACCTTGGGGTCCGGCCACGACTCGAGGCATCGCCAGCTCTTTGCATCGGAGGCGAAGGGCTTCTTTTTCTGGTTCTGTCTCGGAGAGGCTTGGGGCCTAAAAGGGCGGCTTGGTGACTAATTCGGTGACGCGCTGTATCGGCTGCTGCTCTGCTCTCAGCTGGTGACAAAACCACTTAAGGATTTGCGGTGTTTGGCCACTGGCCTGACATGATGAAGCAGCTGAAATCTCCAGGAACACAAAGCGAAATTTCCTTGAGCGGGGCGCCAGGTGATCAATGTTGACTTCTAGCAAAGGTTAGCCTCTACGAGATGGTTGCCAAATTGTCGAGTGTTTGCAGAGGAGTGCAGACGTGGTTTGATGAAGAAACTATTTTCTGTCACAGCGTAATTGGACTTGAGGAGGCCATCGCAGCGTGGCATTCTAACAGCCCCTATGCCCTATGCAATTGCGAAACCTTCGGGAGATGTCGTGACACGAGAGATCGCCATCTTGGCCCAACCTCAGCCACGGGTGAAGACCTGCCCTTCGAGCTACGGTGTCACAGTATCTGGTGCAGGCTCACCAAAGGCTGAACCTACAATGCCTGCTGCGAAACACCATCCAAGCATGCAGCTGGCAGCCTATGTGGGTTGAATGTGCCGAATTGAAGGTGCTTGGAGCAGGGGGAGCCGCTGGCTTCAGCAGGCTTCGGGTGAATGCTCGCCGAAATCTGCGATCCTGCTCTGTAGACTTTAGGAAGAACAGGATCTCTTGCTGATGCTCTGTTCCGGCACACAACGCTAGCACAAAGGCTCCCTCCTCCACAAGCCACTTTTCGTGAATTCCAGCCCTGAATGGGCAAATGCCAGGAACTAGCTAACTCTAATTTTTGACCTGCCGTTGAGGTTTGAGGACAGTCCTCAGTGGCACGCCAAGACTCGGTGGCAGGACATTCTGCCCATCCGGAGGTCGCTTGCTTGACAGACCGAGATCCCGTTTGCAGGCGCACACGGTATCTTGTTCATGGTTGGGGTAGTATTAAAAATCTAAATTTATATTCCTTATTGGGTTTAAGTACCCTTAAAAATGTAAAATGTTACCCAACTATGACAAAGGTATTTTCATTGAGCCTAAAGCCTTCCTGTCAAGGTGGGTGGATGGGGTCTGAAAGGACTTCTCGAATGGCCTACACAGCTCAAGCAACACACAAGTGCTTGCATGGTTAGGCTCTTGTTTTGGAAGACAGCTTCTAAGCAAGCAGAGAAAATATGCAGGTTGCATGTGAGGACGCGCAGCACCACTAAGCAATGAATTGATGCATGCAGCTGCTTCTCACAGCTCTCCCTAGGTCCCGAAGGGCAGGGGCAGACTAGACTATGGCCTGAAATCTCATAGGATACCAAAACCCAAACTGTGCACTGTAGGAGAACCATCATTGCACCGCCGGGATATTGGGCCATAGGGGCCTAGGGGAGATACACAGCCGAGGTGGTTAGCACAGGCCTTCGGCAGATGGGGCACATCCGACACTGGCTGGCACACCTGGGCTTGGAGCTGATGAGTCAGGGTCTTGGGGTAGATTATACTAGAAACGCAAAAATGGATCCCCGAGGCCCCTGCTCCTGGCAGCAAACGACGTGGTGGCAGGGCTGGAAGATACACTGAACGTCCGCATCAGAGCACACCACGCCTCGACATGAGCCAGGGTTCTGGGAGTGCTTCGACCGACATTGCCACCGACTGTTGGGTCATGACATTTTCTGGAACCCTTGCGCACTGTGTGTTGACGTCCTAGTACAAGAACCTCCGATGCTCACAAGTCACTTTGAATCCATGGATGGGCACACTCATCTATGTCAGGCACTGCCGGTGCCTCGCATGGCACGTTACTTTCACCAAGACGCAGGCCAGGCATTGTATGCGGCCAAGAGGCATGTGAGCCTGAGCCTCGCCACCTGGGTCGAGGACTGCTCGCCCAGAAACTCACACGAGGCTTTCCGGGTACCGGGCCTAACCCCGACCTCGCCCTGATTTGCTGCACGTTCAGTGGAATCTTCAGGCCGGCCTCTGCTTGAAATGCCATCTCAGAACCTTTTTAGGCCAGATGGCCTAAACCCCTACACCCTCATCTTAAAACGTCCGACTGCTTCCGGCCGTGTCTCTTCAAGGTCAGCAACAGCGGTGGAGGCCACAGCTCGCAGCGAGGCCTCCGCTCGGCCGCAAGGGGAAAAGACCGTGCTTTTGTGCAGAAGCCTTGTCTAAGGGTTGTAAGTTCTAAGAGGTTTCGGATGGCTCTTTGGTACAGGGGTCTATGGGCTTTGAGCGCCTTCTGGGGTTTGGGCTTCTGCTTCTGTTCCGAGCGTTTCAAGCGACACAACCTGCAAGCAAACCACATTGACCTGCTCTCAGTGGACCAGGGTACATAATCCGAGAACACCAGGTTGAGGCCTTAGTGGGAAGAGCTGCGGTTTCCCGACCCCTAGTGGATCGGCGACCCTACCCAAGGAACCTGCAATAAGCTTCCACCGAAGTTGACGACCACCAATATGGGCTTAAAAACGAGCCCTGCATACACTACGATGAATGGCTGACAAGCCTGTAAACAAAAAATGTAGAATGCAGGTGAGGGTCGATCTCGCCGTCTTTGGCTGCAAGCTCTCGCCTTAAGAGAACTCAAAGACTGCCCCGGCATGAGAACCGGGGGTCTCAGTCATGGGTCCAACCACTGCTTCTGGCCTTTCAGAAGAGCATAGACTTACGGGAGAGGAACATCAAAGTCACATGAGCTGAAGGTGGCCATTAGGGGCCTTAGCTAGGCTTTTGCGGTACAGTAGACCGCAGCTATAACAAGGAGCCTGAGGAAAAATACACGTCCCCATATTCCATGCTAAGGCTGGAGCAGGCAGTCTTCCTGGCGCCGTTGCAATGCCGCAAGATTCCTGCAGTCGCCGGCTGGGAGGGTTATCCGAGCCAAGCGTCGAATCCCTACACGAGGCCGTCGTGCAATAGGAGCTAAAGCTCCACAGCAAAGCCCGTTCCTAAAACCATCACGGTCTGGTCAGTTTAATACCTCAGGGTTTACAGTGTTTAGATTCCTCAACAGAAAGGCCAGCTCACGTTGTGACTTCCTGAGCTGAGGGACGCTGCCTTTCCCAAAAACCCAGAAGACTGTTTCAACAACGGCCTCTCTGTCGCAGAGCAGCGAACTGGGCGTGGAGGCGGCGGGCCCTGGTTGTTGAAGCCCAAACTGTTAAAAGCTCGCCGCATATGGGCTGTAGGAAAGCCTATCACTGCCTGCAGTCTTATGTCTTTCTGTTCGTCATGATATTCGTTTTCATTAGTGACGGCAGTTCTACACAGAGCACCAAGATCTCCAGGCTGCCTGCGGGCCGCGGCTGGAGCAGATGTCCTGCGCTGCAGGCTTGGCACATCGCATACCGCCTAAAGCCCTTTAGTCTGAGCGTGCTATCTTTCACCACGACCTTTTTCAGAGTCCTCGTTTACTGGAGTAGTGGGCGACACCGCGGTGGTGTCGTTGCTGCTCCTTAGCACGACTCTCGGTAAAGTACCCTTCAAATTAACTCGTGGGCTCCCGAGGCTGGCGGGATGCATGAACACATTCAGCAGAAAGCATCACCCCATAGCACTATTTCTAGAGATGCCGGTGCCGGGGCTCACTTCGCGGTAGGACGCGTCGAAGTCGGAGAACCGCTCTGGACTGAAGGAGTCCTTCACAACTGGTCCAGGCGTCCACGCAAAGCCGTTGGACGGAGCCAAACTTGCGCATAGAACATAATTGTAACCATATTATATCATATTATCATGATCAAGGCTGCCTCCCCTACTACATCTTTCAGGTGATCATGAGTGCCTCGGAGACCCGTGCCGGGGCAGCCAGATGCTCAGGTGTTATCGGAAAACCTCGGAGACCGGCACTCAGTGTCTGAATCTGTACCCCGGCCGGTGGCCGTGCCATTCCATGCTTCTGGAGAGTGTGCTGGTTGCCTGACGCCTTACAATAACCATCAATAACCTCGACGTCAACAAAGCACTCTAGCACTTCCAGCAATCGCTTCCCCCCGGTATTAAACGGGGGCCCCCCAATAAAAACTCGGAAAGTGTTGTTGTTGTTGTTGTTGTTGTTGTTGTTGTTGTTGTTGTTGTTGTTCCTGCTTCTGCTGCGTCTCGTGCGCCTGCTCCTGCTCTTGCTTTGCTCTTGCTGCTGCTCTTGCTCTTGCTTTTGCTCTTGCTCTTACTGTGGTCTAAGGGCATTTGGAGCCCCCTCTAATTCAGAGTATTTAAAAGTGCAGGCATGATTTCGAGAGGATTCGCCCCAATGCGTTTTTATTATCCCGGGGGGTGCTTAATAAAAGGAGGGAAGTGACTAATCAAGCCGTCAAGGCCAACACGGCCAGCAACTCGAAGACCTACATTGCGTGACTGCTTTCAAAAGCCTGAGGCCGGAGAGCTGCCGTCGTCTTCGAGCTTTGGAAGAACCCTGAAACGGGCTCTGAAGCCCCAAAGCTCTGGGCCTCGGACGTCGGACTCGACTGGGCCTCGCAGCCGGCGTTCTAAGCTTAGCACATGGGTAGTTCTCCAAGGTGAAGCTAATTCTTTTAATGTGGCGCTCTTATATAAAAACAGGAAGGACGCTCAAAGGGACCCTAGTTTAGAGAACTATCCACATGGTTCTATAAAGCTGCAGAAACAATCTCAGGGGCAGGGCTCCCGAAGGGACTTTGGGACCTCAGACGCAGCAACCGGGATCCCCGAGCTC